AAGGGCGGGCTAGGCGGGGGGCGGTGTCGGGATGGAGGCGAGTTGCTGGTTGGTGATGGTGGCGATGGTGGCGATGGCGGTGGGCGATCTCCAGGGTCGTTGTAATGAAGCGTCTGACTGCGTCAGACCAGCTTGGAAGTAGAGAAGCTCTTGGGAAGCTCTTGGGAAGCTCTTGGGAAGCTCTCGGGATCGTTCAGTGGCTGCACGCAGCATCTCGATTGCAGATTCGTGTTTGGACTTGAGGACGACGAATTGTACGTTTTGTACCTGCGCAATTGCAAACACAACAGAGTCAGAACTCGGAGATAAAGATAGAAGAACTTCTGAAGCAATGGTAATCGAAAAGCGTCAAAGTAAAAACATGCACAGCTTCAAGCTTACCTATGGAGATCGAAGGGCGGGCTGGGCGGGGGGCGGTGTCGGGATGGAGGCGAGTTGCTGGTTGGTGATGGTGGCGATGGTGGCGATGGCGGTGGGCGATCTCCAGGGTCGTTGTAATGAAGCGTCTGACTGCGTCAGACCAGCTTGGAAGTGGAGAGAAGCTCTTGGGAAGCTCTTGGGAAGCTCTTGCTCTTGGCTGCACGCAGCATCTCGATTGCAGATTCGTGTTTGGACTTGAGGACGACGAATTGTACGTTTTGTACCTGCGCAATTGCAAACACAAAAGAGTCAGAACTCGGAGATAAAGATAGAAGAACTTCTGAAGCAATGGTAATCGAAAAGCGTCAAAGTAAAAACATGCACAGCTTCAAGCTTACCTATGGAGATCGAAGGGCGGGATGGGCGGGGGGCGGTGTCGGGATGGAGGCGAGTTGCTGGTTGGTGATGGTGGCGATGGTGGCGATGGTGGCGATGGCGGTGGGCGATCTCCAGGGTCGTCGTATTGAAGCTCATAGATGAGATAGAAACTCGTTGAGAAGAAGCTCGTTCATGACAATTGAACTCTGAAATTATAAAATAGACGTTCACCAACTTTCAGTCACGGTATTATACTACCAGAACTTGGGGGTGGTGTGTCTAGATGCTGCAAGTTCTAAGGCTAAAATTGAACCCAATAGGTGACGCCCTCTTCTGTGGTGCCAGACTGGGGCTGTGTTTCGCGCGTGTTTTTGTGCCGCTCGTCTGAGCGGGCGATTTCGTTTCCCTGCTGTGTGAGTAGGTTCTCTGTGAGCAGCCTTTCAGCAAGGCGAGGATGAAGGAGAAGAGTGGTTGGGGCACTACAGTCAGAAAACAATAGTGACTAGAGGATTGCTGCAGTTCTGTGGAGAGTGGTGGATACCACCACCTGATTCCGGTCAGATCAAGTGTTAGGGTAAACATTTCGCACGTGATATGTAACCCGTATTTTACGATCCTGAAATGAGGACCCGCGTGTTTGCGTGGCTTTGAAATGTACTGGCAGTTCACACCCACATGCTGCGCACTCTGGTCCACGGTAAAACTTGCACTACGCTTCGAAGCATCCTACCGACGTAAAAGCATTGTGTCTCCAATTTTTGCTACGTTCCCAAATGCTCAAGGGCGGACCGGGTTGAGACTTTCGACGGCGCATCCCAACTCAGTGTCAGTGGTTTTTGGCGCTGTGCACAGCGACAAAAACGCGGGAAAGATGAGGCTAAGTGTTGACGTCACAATTATGTTGCCAAAGGAAGCTTCGCCGCGGAACTGTTGCAAGCGTGCGAAGTTGTCCACACTTCTGTTGGAACACTTGCTGACGACTGGACAAGGGACCCCAAAGATCATCACCTGTGGTTCCGCGCTTGTACATTGTATTAGAAGAGACACGTTGGCTGAAAAAGGTTGCTGAGCTGTACCGATAGGTAGCGCCACATCAGCAATTTAGAGATACCATTGACCTCCGAGCACATCTGCTGTGCACACTGTACAGTACCCACAGTGGTTGCTTCAAGCAGAGATGCGGCTGCTGTATGAAGCCCGTTTGGTGACAGAGCAATGCATACTCGTTTGAAACAGAGGATGCGTGGATGCGGAACGGCTCATTATTCTTGCTGAATTTTCATATGGAAAAACAGATTTAGTGCGGTTTTGATTCTCTGCACGGAAAATGATTATCGCGAGTCACTTTTGTAGCGAGTGGGTTCTCATGAGTGGATAACGATGTGCGCGCGAGGGACGCTGAGCCACACGTACAATAGTTTCCCGCTCACCGCCAGCTCATCTCCTCTCTTGTGTGACTCGTTTGGGTGACTCCTCACGCCGTTGAGCTTTCCGTCAGCCTTTTCACAGCTTCTCCCCTCAGCAACCAGCTTGTCTCATTGTTCGCCTCGTTCGCCTCGTCCTTCTTGCCAAGCGGTAGCAAAGCAGGGTCGCCGCTGCTATGATCACTCATTTTCTGCTGCTCACTTTTCACTTTGCACCTGTATCCCTCGACGCAAGCCCTCCTGCTGCTCCATGTGCGGCCCACCAGGAACGGCGTTTATTTGTTCAACTCACACGCTCTTGCAATCTTTGCCCACTCCAATCGCTCCTATTTCGGCAACGCCAAAACCAATCCAGCAAAGCCTTCGATTTCCGAATCGCCCGTTCAAAGCGTTCCCCAGCAATGCTTTCTATCAACTCAGCGGACGCCAAGCAGTGAGCATCGACTTCGCCATGCCTCGTCCCGTCGACGCGGATTCGAGACGGCGGCGCGCCTGATGTCGCCAATTCCGCGCTGGTGGTGAGTGACGGGGAGACGCTTTTCGGGGAGCGGGTAGGCGTCCGCCGCGTAGAGCAGCGGTCAGCAGTCCGTTTCGTGCCGCTTCGAGTCGGTTCTTTCCGCGCTGCCACTAACTTTTCCTCTCTTCCATCTTTCCCCCGCTCTCTCCCTCTCTCCCGCTCTCCCGTCTCTTCCATGATGAGTTGCACTGATGCCACATGATGAGTTGCGGGAGATTATGGTGGTGTCCCTTCCAAAGTGGGTGAAGCGGGAGGGAGAGTCGGATTGGGGCTGAATCACCCTAAGGGTGAAGAGAGAGAGGGATGTTGGCTGAGTTTCCTAAGGTGAGTGAGTGGGTGAGGGATGGGGGCTGAAATCCCGTAGATGGGTAAGTGAGTGGGAAAGAGAATGGGGGCTGAAACGCTTAAGGCGTGTGGTGAGTGGGGAGGGAGATAGGGGCTGGAACCCCTTAGGTGGGTTGGTGATTTGGGATGGAGGCTGGAACCTGTAAGGTGGGTGGGTTAGTGGGAGAGAGGCACGGGGTGCAGCACACCTCTCAGTGCAGCGCCCTTCCACTCTGCCTGCTGCCTCCCAGCGGCAGTGCTCTGTGTGCTACTCCTTGTGCTGGTAAGCTCGTTTGGGTGGTCAGCTGGGGGGTGCTGGGTGGTGGGTGGTGGCAGGTACGAGGCAGAGTGGGTTGGATGGTCAGGTGGGAGGTGGTGGTGATGGTGTTCGTTGTAGCGGGTAGTGATGGTTAAGTGGGTACTGGGATGTGAGAATGGGTTGGGATGAAAAGGGCAGGATGAGGCAGAGTGGGTTGGGTAGTGTAAGAGATGAGATAGGGTGGTATGATACAGTGAGCTATGATAAGGTGTGCTATGATACAGTGTGTTATGATAATGGGTGCTATCATAAGGTGTGCTATGATTCAGAGTGATGATGAGTGTGGTGTGAGTGATTGTTTGGTATGCTACAGTGACTGTTTGGAATGCTACATTGACTGTTTGGTATGCTACAGTGACTGCTTGGTATGCTACACTGATTATTTGGTATGCTACAATGATTGTTTGGTATGCTACAGTGATTGTTTGGTATTATGCTACTGTGATTGGTTGAAATGGGCTGGAACGCCTCTTCTTTGCGATTCTCTTCTCTCTCTGTGTGCCGTCCCATCTCTGTGTGCCGTCCCATCTCTGTGTTTCGTCCCATCTCTGTGTGCCGTCCCTTCTCTCTGTCCCATCCTCATTGAAACTGTTCTCATCCACAGGCGTTCCTTCCCTTCTGCCGTGCTTGCGCAGCGTCCCTCCCAAGGGACGGGGTGCTGGTTCTCTGCCATCTATTCAACGACTCATGCTCACATAATTGTGCCCCCTTGCTGCTTTCCATTCTTACGTCATTCCATCCCAGTACTTTGCATGGGCAACACGCCTTCCTTCACCCAAGCGAAGGTGGTGACGGCGCCTATCCTTGGGCGCTTCTCATGCCGCCTCTCACCTGCCTGGAACTACTGTCTCATCACTGCTGTTGGCACTCTTGCGGATTTGATTAGGAGATACCACAATCATTCCACAGGACACTGCAGTAGTGATGTTCGACTGCTTTCATTTCTATCAAGTTGTTGGGAATTGTGCAGAGGCCTCGAAATGGGAAGCGGAGTGGATTCGTGACTGATGTCACCAAACATACCGTGTGTATATATATATTTATATTTATATTTATATTTTGCAATTTGTCCCACGTCAATTGAGTGGTACTTTATTGCTGGATTGATGTTGCAGTATTGACAGCAGCTTTGCTGAAATCTCAGAAGTTACGCTTTGTTTTATGAATTTTTCTGTATGCTCGATATCAGCTTAGATATAGCCCCGCTCTCGGCTTTGCCGCCAATTCTCGACAGAGTTGTCAGACTTGTCCCCATGCACCTTTGCCAACTAACGTTACCTCATCGTCATGCCACGCTATGCTCCTCCACCATACCCGTGTTCATTAGACTGGTCGGCAGCTACTCGCAGTCGTCATTCTGATCTTAGTCCGATTTTATTCGGCAATGCCTACACGACCGCAGATTTCAGTCACATCGCCGGGTATCGTCCGCACTCACACATCGTCCCTCGCGAATTCTCTGACCGCCGCGCTCACCACGCATCTTGCGAGAAGCGTACATGCCCGTAGCTCAAACATAAGTTAGAATATAGTGTTTTTTACAGTTGCATGGTATTCAGTGACCACTCGGTGGAAAGGTTTCTGGAAGCCGCTTTAAACGCCTGAAAACTGGAAGCTGTTCCGTCCACTCTCGTTCGCACTTTAACAGGTCGCAACACAGCTCTCGAGGTTTCCCCGCATGTCGCTGTCACATCTCGTCCCGCTCCCCGCGCGGTCAGCGCCAGGCACGTCCCCGCTACGGCCGGCATCGCGGTCAGTCCGCCGCGCGCAGTGCGCTTATCCGCCGTCGCGCCCGCCCCGAGCTCGGCTGGCGCGCAACGGGGAGACGCGGAGCGCCGGCGGGCGGCACGCAGAGACGCTGCGCGAAGCGACGCCGTGCGCGCGTGGAACGAGCGTCAGGTGTGGGAAACGATGGTGCACGGTTATCATTTTTTCTTAATGATTGTGTCGTGGGGTGGGATCGGATGATGAGAGGTGTGGGGTGAGCGGAAGTAGCGGCATACCTCGTTTCCCTCCTTTCCCTTCCTTCCCCGCCGTTCCCGCCCTCCCCCGTCCACCCCCGCAGATGCCACGCGCAGCAGGGCAGCGCGGCGCCCATCTTCAGCCCGCCTGAGGGGTCGAGCTTGCGCGAGGGAGAGGGAGACGAGGGGAATGGCGCGTGGTGGGACGCGCAGTGCCTCTTCCACCCCGTGGTCCTGCCGCCCGCACACGCCGCAGTAGCAGCTAGTGCAACAGCAGACGCAGATGGTAATGCAGTAGAAGGGCCAGCAGCAGCAGCAGCAGCAGCAGCAGCAGCAGCAGTACCACAGGGACTTGACGAGCTAGCAGCAGGCGGATTGGAGAGGTATTGGCGCATGTACTATTATGGCCGCTCCAGTAACACATGGGGGGGAAACAGTCCTTCCCCTCCCTCCGCCTCCTCCGCCTCCTCCTCCTCCTCCTCCTCCGCCTCCTCCTCCTCCTCCTCCTCCGCCTCCTCCTCCGCCTCCGCACCCCTCCCTCCTCTCCCCGCGCTCTTCACCACGGGCAGCATAGGCCTGGCAATCAGCAGCGACGGCATGGCGTGGACCAGAGTGAGAGGGCCGGAGGCAGGCGGATCGATTCTCACCCCGCGCTCGCACGACCCGGCAGCGTTTGATTCCTTGCACGTGGGGTGCGGCGATGTGGTGTGGGTGGAGCCTGGGGATACAGGCAAGGGGGGCATGAAAAGGGGAGAGGATGACAAGAGGCAAGGCGGGGTAGCAGGTAGGATGGAAGGAGGGGTAGAGGGAGCGCGGGGGAAGGGCGAGTGGTGGATGTTCTACTTTGGAGGGGGGCGAGAGGCGCGTGAGGTGCGGCCGGGAGTGAGCGTGCATGGTGCCACCATGCGCATCGGCATTGCCACGTCCCCCGATGGGATTCACTTCCACCGCATCGCAACTGCCGGCGCTGCTCGTGTTTCTGGTGGCGCTAGTGGTGTGAGTGGCACTGGTGGTGCGCTGTCAGCAGCACGGGAGGGAGTGGTGGTGGATGTAGGCGCAGCAGGGCAGCCGGATGATCTGTTTGTGGCCTGGCCGCGAGTGCTCACTCCCTCCATGCTCGCCCGTGCCAACGCTTCTGCCGCCTCCCACCCTGCTCAAGCAACTCTACCACAGGTGAGTCGCTGCAACACCCAGCTCTGCCTTTACGTGCTTACTCGCGCCCACTCCGCTGTTCGGCTCATGTTGCCCTGCTGCTCTTTTTCTTTCCTGCTTGTATGTCCTCCAGGGACCTCTCTGTGCTCCAGGGACCTCTCTTTCAATCCCTTGTAGTTTCTTCGGGTCGCACCGTCCGTCTCTGTGCCCTTCCCCACTCTCACACGATTCCCGTGCTCCCACCCCCTTACCCATCCTCACCCAAATTACCCCCCTCAACCCTACACCCAACCGCATTCCCACCCCCATTCTCAACCCCCTTATCCCACCCCACCCCACCCCTCAGAACCTCTGGCTGATGACCTACAGTGCCATGTCCTCAGCCTCCCCCTCGTGCATCCTCCTCGCCTCCTCCCCCAACGGCCTCTCCTGGACCCGGCACGGCCCCATTCTCTCCCCAGGCTCGCCCGGGGCATGGGATGCGGCAGGGGTGGGGCGGCGGCATGTGACTGTCCATGGGGGTGTGCTGGCCATGTGGTATGAGGGCGTGGGGCGGGACGGCAGGCATGCCATTGGGCTTGCGATCTCGCGTGATGGGTTCACGTGGGGAAAGGTTGAGATGGCAGGGCGCGAACCAGGAGGACCGGTGTTTGGGCCGTGGGAGGAAAGGGAGGCCGGGGAAGAGGAGAGTGAAGGGGGTACGAGAGGGAAAAGGGAACAGAATGCAGTTGGGGTTAGGGAAAGGGAGAGGGATGGTGATGGGGATGGGGATGGGGATGGGGATGGGGATGGGGTGCATGCATGGGAGGACCTAGTGGTGGCGGCACCGCATGTGGTGTGCATGGGGGATGGCTCCATGCGCCTCTACTATGCTGCTCGGGGCACGGGCAGCAAGAGCTCCTCTGACTTCAAGATTGGAGTGGCGTTTGGCACGAGCAGTGAGCTGGGGGCGTGGCGCAGGGCAGGGTGAGGGGTAGCTTGTGGGTGAACTGTTTCAGAGTTAGGTTTGAAGGGGCGATGATGGAGAGATGAGGAGGAGAGGGCAGGGATAGGGAGCAGGCCCCAACTCCACAGTTCACCTTCACAGTCTACGCTTGGTTGTGTGTGTGTTGGTGAATTGTACACACATCTTTTCACCAAACAATCAGTATCATGCCAACAATTCGCATGGTCCATGGCACATGTCACATCACAGCGAAGTACTAGAAGCAGCATTGCTTGCAACAGCTGCAACAAGCACGCAATCCAGTCATAAACTCAACAGGTGCCATTGCAAATACCAGGAGAGGCCAGCAGCAGCACATGACTCGGCTGGCCTGCCTGCCGGTCACTTGCTTGCAGATGACCACAATGAGGTTAGACTAGCCTACCGTAATCACCCGGACATAACACCCGGGGGTATTATGATAACCACAGGGAAAAAAGGGGGGGGGTCCTCTCAACGGAAAATCCTATATAATACCCGGGTGGTTATATATGGCACTTTTTAGTGTAAGAAAAAAAGTTAATTAGACAATTTGGGTGTTTCAATAGTCGTCTTAACATCACAGGTTGAGGCGAGAATTCGAGTTTTGGCGAGAATGTGAGTTTCACCTCTTGGGCCACGTGCAGCGGAAGATTCGCCAGCGTGGCGACAGCGAGATTGTGGAAGGGAGAGAATCTCGGTAGATTCGAAGTGAAAGTGCACGCGAAATTTCATTCAGGAAGCGATTTTTGTCATATCCTCCCGTAAGAAAAGGGGGGTGTTATAGAGAATCACCCCAAAAGGGGGGGTATAGTACAAACGAGGTCGGCTATAGCACCCCCCCCGCACAAGCTACCCGGGGGTGTACTATTACGGGGGGGTGTTTTGTCCGGGTGATTACGGTACCCTCTTTCTCTAACAATTTGTTGTTGTCAGCCTCACTATAGTGTGTAAATGGCAGGTATGTCGGTACACAGCAAGGGCTTCGCCTCTCTCTACCCCTTGGTCCAGGACACCTGCAGGTGTGAGAAGGCCAGCTCAAACTCCCTCTCGTCCACTCTGCTGCGACGGGCTGCCGGAGACACACTGCGACTCCCCCTTGCTCCTGCTCCTGTGCCTGCCCGCCCTGCTGCTCCTCTACCTCCTCCCCTCCCTGCCTCCCCAGCTCGCCCTGCTGCCCCTATTCGCCCTGCCGCCCCTGTTCGCCCTGCTGCCCCTGCTCCTGTCCGCCCTACTACACCTGGCCGCTCCAGCACCGGTGCATTCGACCCCACGCCATTGCCCTTTGTCATGGGCTCTTTTGTCTCTCCTTCTGCAGTCTCCTTGGCCTCGCCTTGCCCTGCCACCTGCTCTCCTCCATTTGATCTCTGTGAGTCCCCCTCTCCTCGACCCTCTCCCTCTCTCCTCTCTCCTCCCTGCCCCTCCATTCTCCCACTGCCTTCTCCCTTCTCACCCCCCTCCACCGCTCCGCACTCCTCTATCTCCCAGCGTGGTCCCGTTCCCGCTCCCTTCCCCCCGTCCTCCTCACACACCTTCCGCCCCTCACACACCTTCCGCCCCTCACACAACCGACTCCTCCCTCCTCCAACCCTAGACCCTTCACTCTCCGCACGTGGAAACCCCTCCCGCCCTTGCAGCCCCCATTTCTCCCCCTTACCTCTCTCCCTGCGCCCCTCCCCACCCCCATCAACCGAGACAGACCGGGACTCCCCTAGCGCTCCTTGCATGCTCAGCGCCGCATTGCTGTTTTTAACATCACCATCAGGGGAATCTCCTCCCCACCTCCCGGATTTCCTGCCTAAGCCAGAGACGAGCCGAGGGCTTAGGATGGAACGCAGGCTGAGACGACTGGGGCTGGCTGTGGGGCGGCGGGGGGAGGGATCGGGCGGAGAGGGGGAGGTGGGGCCGCGGGTGCGGGTGTGGGACGAGGGGGAAGGGGAGGGGGAGGGGGAAGGCTGCGCGTGGGGGGAGAGAGGACTGAAGCCGTGAGGGGAGTTGGTGTGCGGGGTGAATGGACGGGGGTCCCTGGGTGACGGCGTGCCTGCTGGACTGAACTCCCTGCTGCTACCACTGCCTCCGCCGCCGCTGCTGCTGCTACTGCTGGCGCTGCTGCCGTTGCTGGTACCGTTGCTGCTGCTGGTGGCGCTGTCAGTGCTATTAGAGCGCGACATGATAGCCAGCAGCCAGCGACTGCGCTGGCTGAGGGACGGCGATGTGGGAAGGCCAGGGGGTGTTTGGTTTGTTGTGCTGGGCGATGGCAGTGCAGGGAGGGGAGAGGCGAGCGCAGGTGCGCAACTCTCGCTGCTGGCCTCCTGGGCTGGTGCTGGCTGGCTCGCTGCTACCGATATCCCTCCCATAGCTGCTGCTGCTTCTGCTACTGTGCATGCTGATGCTTGTGATGCATCCACTGCTGCTCGTGTCTGCTCAGCAGCATCTGCAGCAGCTGAGTGCGCATGCGCTGTGTCTTGGTCCCTCGTCTCCCCCTCGCCACTCCCTCCTCTCCCTGCGTTCCCCTCTCCATTCTCTGCTTGCTGCAGCTCTGCCCCGCCCTGAACCCGCTCCTGCTCTTGCACTTGTTGCTGCACCTGCTGCTGATACACATGCCGCTGCTGCTGCTGCTGCGCCTGTTGCTGCTGCGCCTGTTGCTGCTGCGCCTGTTGCTGCTGCGCCTGTTGCTGCTGCGCCTGTTGCTGCTCCGGTGTCTGCTGGCCCCTAACACACCCCGGCCGTCCATACAGCAACAGCTGCCTCTGCTCCCGCTGCTCCCTCTGCCGTTCCCGCAGGGCGTGCAGCTGCTGCGCTCTCTCCCCTTCCAGCACCTCTTTCAGCCGCGCCAGCGACGACATGGCCACCAGCAGCCGCTCCTGGCTGCGCTCCCTCCCCCTTCCGCCGCTACCGGGGCTGGATTCCGCCAGCTGCTGCATCAGCGGGTGCGGACTCGCCAGCAGCGGGGATAGATCCGCCCACGTGCATGCGCCCTTGCCGCTGCCGCTTCCGCCGCTTCCGCCGCCGCCGCCGCCGCCGCCGCCGCTGTTGCTTGCGGGGTTGCTGCGGGGAGACGGGGCGGATAGCTGGGATAGAGACTGGCCAGGATCGGTTTCTGAAGGGTTGGGTTGGAGGGAGGTTGCATTCGGACAGGTGTTATTTGTGGATGCAAGTGCGGAGGGCGAGTGCGGAACGGGAAGAGGCGGGGCCGGAGCGGAGGGAGTGGGCGCAAGGGACGAGGAGGGGGTGGAAGAGGCGGAGACGAGAGGCGGCAGCGACGGGGACGCTGCTGCTCCGGCGGCGGCGGCGGCGGTGCTTGTGGCGGCGGTCGCCTTGCCGACCGCGGAGGCGACGGCGTCGGCGGTGGAAACGCAAGGAGAGGCGGAAGCGGTGGTACGGGGGGAAGCGGTCTCGGGAGTGTCGCGCTGGGCGGGATGGGAGGCGGAGTCGGGAGTATCCGGGGGAAAGCGCGGCGAGGGGATGGCTAGATGACCTAGTCTGTTGACGAACACTCTATTCATCGCCATCGCCTTGCCGCCGGCCATGCCCGTGCGCGTATCAACGTCGCTGCTACAGCAGCTCCCGCTGCTACACCCATTTCCAATAATCGCGCCATTAGCACCACTAGCACCGGGACCATCGGCAGAGCCGGATAAAGCACCACCGTTGACCCGGTCAACGCGAGCTACGTCATGTTCGTCAACGCTATCATCGCTATCCTTGGGCTGATTTGCTTTCTTTCCCGGACCGTCATTGCTGTCTCCTCGTCCACTGATGTTCTCCGTAATTCCCTGAGTGACTCGACACGCTTCCTCCTCCCCGCGCCTCTTCCCCCCGTCCCCGCTTCGGTCGTGCGCGCCACATAGCCTCGACCCGCCCGCGCAACCCACGTGCTCGTCCGCCCACTCCCCCTCGTCCGCGCTGCCCCCATCCGCACGAGGTGCGCCGTCCCCCCCTTGCACCCTCCCGGCCCGCAGGGCGGGGCTCCGTCCACTGGCTGATGTGGCACTCGGGGACGACGGTATGCTGAGGTGCTCGAGCCGCCCGGAGAAGACACGTGGCAGGGAGAGCGGGCGACCATTGGCGCGATGTGGAACCGCGCCGGAGTTTGCTCCGTTAAGCTCGGCCTTACAGCATTCGCCGCGCTGCCGCGACTGAAAATGCTGCCGGTGCTGGTGCTGCAACAGCTCGTTCGGTTCTACTACTATGTTCTGCATGGGGACATGGGAGTGATTATAAAGTCGACTTAAAACTCGTATGAAAGTGAGTCACTTTGGAAAGTTCGCAAGAAGGCACTACACGAGGTTTCGAGTTTATAGAAACCTGACAACATGGGAGCGCGCCTCGCCAGGTTTCGATCTCGAGCCGCGAGAGACGCCGGTATACGGCAGCGGGGAAAGAAGGGGGGATGTTTTGCCCGGCGTTGACGGAACAGTGAAGACGGGAACAAGTGTCCTAGAGCTGCATATAAGTTACTATTACTACTTTACTGTATCTACGCTGCTAGGTTGGCCAGAAGAGAGAGACCCTCGCTTTGCGCAGCTTTACCGCTTTCCGACAAGGTTTGCGATGGTGCTCGAATGCCAGCCTGGCTGTCGCGGAAGCTGTTCGTGCGGGTGGGTCCGACAAACAAGTGGCAAGGAGAGAGAAGAAAGGTGTTTGCCCGCTCACCTTCACTACGCCGCGTAGTCTACGCGTGAACGGAACGGACGGAACTCAGGAAGGAAGGGCAGAGTGAATGGAATGATTGCGTGCGGTGGACGAGCAAGGGACCAGCTGCGGAAGGAAAGATGGAGAAAGGGACAAGGGGAGAGGACGGGACGGGACGGACGGGAGGGATGGAAGGGGGAGACTTTCTTCCACCGCGATTGGACCATGGTCCTGAGCTCCCAGGCTGTTGGAGGGCGTTTGGTTGTGGTTAGGGGAAGAGTGGTAGGTGAGCCAGCGACCCAGAGAGTGCGGGGCTGATGTGAAAATAAATTTGAACGGGCGCGGAGAATCGTGCGGAATTGGATGGAAGGGACGCGATGGTTCGGGTCGTGCGCGGGATGGGGAGGTGAGGTGAGGAGGAGGAATTGATCGAATCGATACGTGTTGGGGGCGAACAGTGTAAGCGCAGCGCAGATGTTGGGGGGGGCGTCGAGTGTAAGAGCTCGAGTCGCAGAGGCGCAAAGGAACGGCTGCGATTATTTTCAGTGTCTCACAAGGCAATGATGATATTTTCACCAGGATCGAGCGGCTGAGAAAACTCCACCCACGACAGGATTTATGGAAATTACCTACAGTGTAGTGTAACGTGCGCCCTCCATGTAACGTGATTTCCTTTGAGCTGGCTGTTGGCATGGTTCAACTGCTTTCAACCGCCATTACCTCTTCTGCAACCTGCTAATGTTCACACTACTGATTATCAAATACATATAAGAATGGCACATGGCTTTCATATCGACCTTCCTATGGTACTCAGGCAATACGAGGAACCAATCATCCAGAATTTTATTCTATTTGTCTGTTTGTGCTAGAAACATCACATAGTAAATATTCCATGTAAATATATGCATGTTGTTTATTGTATGACAGCATTGCTAATATGATTGTGATTCTGCATAGTTTTATGACAGAGGTATATATTGTCACAATATTAATATAGTGTTTCTGTTTTTCCTCGACTAATTGAGCTGGAGCTCCCTTCTATTTAGATACTATATCACATCATACAGACTGATAAGATGCTCATGTTTGCGGTATAAATATTTAGGCAATTCGGGGCTGTCGAGGATAGCAGCAGGCACCATCGAGCATTTCAGCAGACATTCCATCCCTCCCCTGTGTGATTTCCGCTGGTTCCCCTCCCCGTTTTGTCGGTGCACGCCACTACTGTTCCTCCCAGAAGTGGCTGGTGTAGTGTTCGTCACATCCGACAAAGGAACAAGCGGATTGAAAGCGACTGCGACGGAGCTCGTTACTGCAACGAGCGGCAGCCCCAAGGCTCGGTGGAGGGCCGAGGCGTTTCATGTCTGGTGTCAAATCAAACCATTCCGCCTCACCAAGGAGGTCGGTTTGTTTGGGCCTCCCACCGAGCCTTGGGTTTATGGCATGGCGTACCCCAATTGAGGTATGGCATGGCATGGCATCCTCTCTTTTCCGCACCGCACCACTCACATGACCACAGCAAGCGGGATGCAACAATAGCAAATACATATAACCGAACCAAACTCCATACCTGGGCAAAGCGCAACCTCTTACCTGCAAAAATGCTGGTGGAGTCCCCAGCACCACGCCCTGCTAACGTACATGTAGTGCGGGGATTGGGAGATGTGCGCAACAGGTTTGGCGGGAGGGGAGGCGGGGGAGGAAAGGAAGGTCTCACTCTGTGTGGTCTGGTCGTGATGGCTTCTCCCTCCCACGCGTGTCATCCGCTTCCGTGCACTTGAACAGGGATGCTAAACATAACTAAAACGGATTACAGTAGAAAACAGAACTCACAAGACAGTGTGACGAGCTGCGTTGAGGGTGACACCTAAAAAAGTCAGCATTTCTTCCACGCTATTAAATAATTTTATTAGCAACAGACTGCAACGGTCGTAGCATTTCTCTTACGAGGCGTTTTCGCGCGGCAAAAAATGGAGCTACAATCACAGTATAATGTCAAGAAGAACGCCAGGAGCAATTTAGGGTTTGACTGTATCTCCTCCCCGTAATGTGCGGCTCCTGATTCTTTCCTCCCTCTTTCGTTCCTCTATTTCTTCCGTTTTCAACCGCTGTTATTCTCGTTCGCTCCTTCCCCGCTCTCCGCCTGTCGGGGCGCTGGCCCTTCCCTACCCTTCTCGTCCTCCCTCGCGCACTGAGCGTTTCTCGTTTCCCCTCTCGTCTCTCGCCCATCCCTCTCAACCCCTTTCTCTCCACTCCATGCTCACCCCTGCCCGTCGTCAACCCCCAGGGACGTGGCTCGGAGGAAGTCGTTACAGCAACCCGCTATGGGGAAGGACCCTCCGCACGCGCACTCCGGTGCGCCGCAATCCGAACTCCCCTCCCTCCCCCCTCCCGCGCACGCGTGGGGCCGAACCAAGTCATTCCAGCAGCAGGACTCGGGGGGTGCGGGGAGCTCGGGCAGCGGGGGAGGATTTCGATCATGGTACAACACCAAGGGCGGCCTGCCGTTACAGGTAGGCTCGCACGACGACGACGCGGATAAGGCGGCGGGCGGCCGCGTAGGGAGTGGCAGTGAGAAGAAAGGAGAGTTTAATCAGCAGGGGCAGCAGGGGCAGCAGGGGCAGCAAAGTGAGCCCTTGAAAACGCATCTACCGGCCTCTATGCAGCCCCACCCGCCGTCGTTACAGCCCCCGCCGCAGTCGCGCCCGCAGAGCCTCTTCCGCAAGCCGCCTCCGCTGCTGGTGCCCGCGGGGGGGGACGCGAAGCTGGCGGGGAGCAGCAGCACGGGGGGGGGCGCGGGGGATGCGCGGGGGAGCGGAGCGGCGCAGGCGGCGGCGGGGGGCGAGTCGCGGATGAAAGGAGTGGCGTCTGTGTTTAAGAAAGGCATGTGGAAGTTCGGGGGGCTGCGGAAAGAAAAGGAAAGCGCCGCCACTAGCAGTGCCGCACCCTCCGCCACCAGCAACAGCAGCAGCAAAGGGGGGGCGGAAGCGCAGGCGGCGAGCCCCAGGCACTTTTACTCGGGTCCCTTCCCCTTCCCCGCGGACCGGCGCAAGACGACCGAGGCGCGGCGGTCGCAGCTGCGGCAGGGGCTGACGCCGCTGCAGGGCGTGGGCTCTCCGCCGTCGTCGTCGCTCGCGGTGTCCGTTACGTCGGATACGCACAGCACGGACAGCGACGGGGTTACCAGCGGGTTCAATTCGCACGCGGCGTCGCACGAGGTGCTGTCGCCGCTACCCCCGCACGTAAAATCGCCTCTGGTCGGAGACAAGCCAAAGAAGAAAGGGCTCCTAGACTGGGACTTGCTGTCTCCTAACGCCGGCGGCCTGCTCGGGAGTAAGCGCGGCGCGAAGTCGTCGCAGCAGCAGCAGGAAGCGGCGGCGACCGCGGCGGCGGCGCTATTGAGTAGCAGTCGCAGCGGGCGGCACGGGGACTCGCTCGCGGCGCAAGGGCGGGGTGTTAGCAGCGGCGCTATTAGCGGGCCCATACTACCGGGGATGATGCCGGGGCGGCTCGGCAGTAAGGGCGCCGGTAACCCGCCTGCTGACGACAAGTCTCTCGATATAAGCTTCCTGCGATTGCGGCAGGTGGAGTCGCGCCTCTCCGCGCACTTCCCTACCACTCCGCCGTCCGCGTCGGCGGCGGAAAAGCACCCGCTCCCCTCCCCCACTCCCCCGCTCGCGGGGCGCGGAGACACCCCGCAGCGTCCGCAGACGCCGGAAGATCCGGGCGGACCGGATTCGGCGCGCAATCGAATCCGAGTGAAGGGGTCCAGCATGAAAGCGGAGGACGAGTCGCCCTTGTTACAGTCACGCGCGGCGGGCGCCGCCCCTGGTGATTTCCCCGAGGGCGGGGCTGCGCCCGGGGGCAGCATGCGGGGGGGCGGAAGCGGAGGCGCGGGGGATTTCGCGGGGAAGTCAGGGCGGGGGGGCGCGGGTTCCGCGGGGGGAGCGGGAGACACGATGATAGAGGTGGAGGTGGAGGAGATAGGCGAGGGCGGGGAGATTAAGACTAAGACCATCCCGGCGCGGCTTCTAGAAGCCACAGTGGTACATCAGGGCGCTTCGGGGAGGACAGTATCGGGTCGCATTATGTTGGAGACGGGCGAGGTGATGGTGGTACAGGTGGAGGAGGACGACGGACCGCTCTCGCTCGCGCTGCAGGCGGCGCTGCCGCACGCCGCCAAAGGGGAACGGGAGCGCGCGCGGGATAGGGATAGAGACCGGGAGAAGGAAAGGGATAGGGACAGGGATAGGGATAGGGATAGGGATAGGGATAGGGATAGGGATAGGGATAGGGAAAGGGAAAGGGATAGGGATAGGGATAGGGATAGGGAGCGGAGGGAGAAGGGGAGTTTCCGCGGCGGGGACGGCGCGGATAGACCGCGGTCGAAGAGCGGGCGCGCGGGGGAGGCGGGCGCGGAAGGGGAGATGCGCTCCCGGTCGCGGTCGAGCAGGGGGGAGTCCGCGCACGAGCACCAAAAGCGCGCGCACGGGCTTCGTGGGGAGGACGATTCCCGCCCCAGGTCACGCTCTGGCCGCGGGGAGGGCGCGGAAGGGGAAGCGGGGGAGGCGCGGCCGCGGTCGAGGCATAGCAGGGGGTCGGAGGGGCGGCGATCGCGGAGCATCCGCGTGGATAACGCGGAGGACTGGGAGAACGGACGGCCGAGATCGAGAAGCGGGCGGGGGGATGAGTTGGGCGGGGAGGGGGAGGGGAAAGCAAGGAGCAAAAGCAAGGGGGTGGCAGAGGGCGGGGAGGGCGCTTTGGAAGGAACAGGGGCAGCGGAAGGGGCAGCGGCGGGCCTTCCCCCCCATACGCCACGCCAGCGGCGCTTGGGGCGCACGCGGTCGCGCGTCCTGGAGGAAGCGGTGAAGGCGGCGATGGGCGGGGACGCGGAAGCGGAGAGCACCACTCCGGGCGCCCTTGCCTCCGCCGACCCCCCGCTCTCCCCGCTGGACGCGGCGCAGCCGCGCGCAGACGACGCGGCGCTCACGCCAGGGTCGCGCGGAGGGGCTTCCGCCAATGTCACTCCGCGCAGCAGAGCCAGAGGCGCGCGCGCTGGGGGAAAAGAGCCGGGGGAAGGCGGGGCGGGCGCGCTGGAGTCCCCCGTGGGCGCTGCAGCGAGCCCCGCGGGGGGGGAGAGGCCGAGGCGCCCGCGGGAGCGCAGGCGGACACAGTCGCGGTCAGGCATGGAGGAGATTATGCAGGCGGTGGAGGGCGCAGCGGAGGGCGCAGGGGGGGCGGGGGGCGCGCGCACCCCTGTGAGCCCCTATCGGGGGAAGTCGTTTGGGCGGGGCGAGGACGGGGAGAGGAGGGAGAGGCGGCGGGAGAGGGGCAAGGAGGGGGCGTCTCCGCGGGAGATGGGCGGAGCGGGGGCTGCGGGGGGTGATGGCGCAGCGGCGCAGATCAGACACGCCACGCCGCCCCCCACGCGGCCGCCAGGGGAGAGGGGCTACAGTAGAAGCCGGTCGAGGCGCGTGGCGGAGGAAGGTGGGGGGAGAGGGGCGGGGGAGGAAGCGGGCGGGGCGGGGAGAGGCAAGCCCGCGAGGTCGCCGATTGGGGGAAGGGGGAACAGACGGAGGCGGAGCGTTTCAAGGGTGGGGGAGGAGTTTGGCGCAATTACTCCCCCTGTGGGCACGCCCACTGCGCTCACCCCCACTGGCGTTTCCCCCATGGCTGTTTCCCCCGGATTCGTTCCCCCGACCTTGTCCAATGGGGATGGGGGAGGCGCGGGGAGCAAGGGGGGAGACGGGGCGGAGGGCGCAGTTTCGGATATGTTTGAAGGGTTTCAGGTGGGTGCTGTGGTTGATAGAGTGGCGGAGCGGTTGCAGGAGCAGGGAGAGAAGCGGAGGGAGAGGGCAGTGGGGAGGGGCGGGAAGGAGGAGGGGCGGGGGACGGTGCGGAAAGTGCGCAAGGATGAGTGGGAGAGGATTAAGGAGAGGGAGAGGGGCGCGGGGAAGAGCGGACGGGCCGTGGAGAACGGGGAGAGGGCGGAGAGGGGGAGGAAGAGGGAGGAGGATGTGAGGGCAAAGGGAGGGGAGACGAAGAGAGAGAAAGAAGGGGAGAAGGAAAGTGAAAGGGAAAGAGAGGAGGGGAGGGAGAAGGACGATGACAAGAAGCAGGAAGCAGAGGGAGGTGAGGCTGTGGGGGCCATTGGGGTTAGTACGGAGGGAGGTATGGAGGGGGTTGATTCAGTGGAAGCTCATTCAACAGAACATGAGGAGGGCGATGGAAAGGATGGTAGTGTGGTGGTGAGGGAAGGCTTCGAGGCAGCAGCGGCGGCGGAGAGCAGGGAGGAAATGGAGGCGGGGGAGAAGGCGGCGCAGCAGCAGGAGGTGGCAGTAGCAGCTGGCCAGGTCGCCACAACAGCAGCCGCCCCTGCTACAGTTCTCCCTGCAGGCCCACTGCCAACGGTGGTGCCTGTGGCGGGAGTGGCGGGAGTGGCGGGAGTGGGGGGAGTGGGGGGAGTGGGGGGAGTGGCGGGAGTGGCGGGAGTGGGGGGAGTGGGGGGAGTGGGGGGAGTGGCGGGAGTGGCGGGAGTGGGGGGAGTGGGGGGAGTGGGGGGAGTGGGGGGAGCGGGCATGGACGAAGAGGAGCGCAAGGTGCTGCAACTCAAGGGGCTGACGCGCCCCTCCGCGCTTGCTGTCGCCGTCTTCTCCCCCACCTCCGCCCGCCTCATCTCCCCCTCCGCCACCACCTCTCAAACCACCTCCCCGCATGCCCCTTCCCCCGGGTCCGCCCGCCTCGTCTCCCCCACCTCCGCCAGCATCCTCTCTCCCACAGCTGCCGCCGCCTCAGGTGCCGCGTCAGGTGCTCCTTCAGGTGCTCCTTCAGGTGCCGTTTCCCCTGCCATTGTGTCGCCTGCCAGCCAGCCGTCACCAGGGTCGGTGCGAGCAGGCCTCTTCTCATCTGCAGCTGGTGCTGCTGCAGCAGTGGGAGGGGGCGTGCTGAGAGCGTTGACTCACAGCAAGTGGCGTGGTGGCGGCGGCGCTGCCAGTCCCGGCAGCAGCAGCAGCAGCAACGCCGCTGCAGGAGCAGGAGCAGCAGCAGCAGTGGTTTCCCCAACCGGTGACCGTGACGCGGCTCTCATGCAACAGGCGGCGGAGGCGGCTGCTGCGTTTGCTGCTGCGGGGAGCAGCGGGCAGGGGAGCGGAGGCGGAGAGGGGGGAGGCGGAGAGGGGGGCGCGGGCGCGGAAGAGATGCAGGCGCGGACGGCCGTGGGGAAGGCGATCGTGCAGAGCCGGCTGGCGCAGGCGCGGCGGTGTGTGACAGTGGGGGAGCTGGACGTGAGTAACAAGCTTTCTGCGCGCAAGAGGGGGCAGTGGGGGCGGACAGGCCCGGGCAGCGGCAAGGAGAGAGAGGGCGACGTGCTGAGCCCGTGGGACAGGCTGAAGGAGACACGGAAACTGATGCCGCTGGCGAGTTTCAGGGGCAGGGACGCGGAGGGCGAGGAGGAGGGCGGGCATGTGGGGCTCATGGCGAAGCTCATGGGGCGCAGGGAGAAGGGCGCGCATGGGGGAGGCGCGGAGGGGGAGGGCGGGGGCGAAGGCGGGGCCGAGGGCGGGGGCGAGGGGCGGGGCGAGGGAAGAAGCATGAGGCGGATGGGGTCTGTGGAGACAGGGACGAGGGTGCGGCTAGTGGAGCAAGGCAGGGCCGTGTCAGACGGGGCTATGCTCGCCGCTGCTGCAGAGGCCGCCACTGCCGCCGCCACTGCTGCTGCCGCTGCTGACGCTGCTGCTGCTACTGCTCCTCCTGCTGCTGCTGAAGCTGAAGCTGATGATGGGCGTGGGAGCAGGGAGGGGGATGCAGGCGCGGGTGGTGAGACTGGTGTGGGCGCAGCGATGGAGGTCGATGCAAGTGCTGCTGCTTTGGAAGGGAAGGGCGAGAGTGGTGGTGATATGGTTGTTGGCGAGGGGGGAAAGCTGGTTGTGGAAGATGGGGCGGATAGAGGCGAGGCGAGGGCTATGGAGGGAGTGAGGGGAGGAGGCGGTGAGGTAAGTGTGGGGGATGTGGAGATGAGGGAGGAGGAGGAGGGAGAGGGAGGGGAGAGAGTTGGTGGGGAATCAATGGACGAGCATGACAGGATGGAAAGCGAGAGGTTGGAAGGGAGAGGGGAGGAGGAGAGGATGGAGGAGGAGAGGAGGGAGGAGGAGAGGAGGGAGGAGGAGAGGAGGGAGGAGGAGAGGAGGGAGGAGGAGAGGAGGGAGGAGGAGAGAAGGGAGGAGGAGAGAAGGGAGGAGGAGAGAAGGGAGGAGGAGAGAAGGGAGCTACTTCGGGTGGAGGAGGAAAGGAAAGAGGAGGAGAGTAGAATGCTAGCAAGGCTTGAAGAGGAACGACGCGAGAGCGAGAGGGTTGCGTTCGAGAAGGAAGAGGAGGAACGAAGGGAGCGAGAGAGGGCTGATGAAGAGAGACGGGTTCAAGAAGAGCAACGAATTGAGAAGGAGCGAGAGGAGGAAATGAGAAAGGAAAAAGAGAGGGAGGAGGAGGAGAGAAGGGAAAGGGAGCGGGAGGAGGAGGAGAGAAGGGAAAAGGAGAGGGAGGAGGAGGAGAGAAGGGAAAAGGAGAGGGAGGAGGAGGAGAGACGGGTAAAGGAGAGGGAGGAGGAGGAGAGACGGGAAAAGGAGATGGAGGAGGAGAGAACGGAGAAAGAGAGGGAGGAGGAGGAGAGAAAGGAAAGGGAGAGAGAGGAAGAAGAGATAAGACAGAAGGAGAAAGCAGAAAAGGAGAGGAAGGAAAGGGAGAGAGAGGAGGAAGTGAGTAGGAAAACGGAAAGAGAGGAGGAGACGATGAGATTGGAGAGAGAGGAAGGGGAGAGATGGGAACGAGAGCACGAGGAAGAGGAGAGGCGAGAGATGGAGAGGCAGGAGGGAGGCAGGAGAGGCGGCGGCAAGGGGCAAGAGCAGGAGGCGAGGGGAGGGGGGTTGCGGGAGAAGGACAAGGGGGGCAAGAGCGAGCAGGAGCAGCTGCTGCTGCAGTTTCTGGATGAAGAGTGCCGGAGAGAAGAGGGCTCAAAGTGGCAAGGTGGCAAGGGGCGCGGGAGAGGGCGACGGGGGGATGATGATGCTGGGAGTGGTGGTGAGAGCGATGGGGAGGGACGCGGAGTGGTGCATGAGAGGGAGGAGGATGAGGAAGGGGACCTGTATGGTGAGTGGGAATCAGAGAGGAGGGTGGAGGGCAGGGGAAGGAGAGGGAAGGCGGCAGAAGGGGAGGAGGAGGATGACGATGAGGAGGAAAGATATGATGGTGTTGAAGCAGGTGTGGTGGTGGGGGAGGGAGAGGAAGATTTGTATGGGGAAGTGAGCGGTCGGGAGGTAGAGGTTGAGAGTGGTGGAGGGGAGGGTGAGGTGGTGGAGGATGGTGGAGAGGCGGTGTGGATGGGGAGAGACAGGGGGGTGAATGCAAGGAAGGGTGATTGGGAAGGAGCGGAATGGGAGGAAGAGGAGGAGGAAGAGGAAGAGGGAGGAGTTGATGGGGCTGAGGGTGGTTCTAGAGGGAGGCACGGAGAGGAGGGAGTGGAGGGAGAATGGGAGGAGGGAGAGGGAATGGTGGTGGAGGAGAAGGGAGGTGTGGAGGGTGGGGGAGAGAAGCGGAAGGAGGTACGGGGCAGGTTTGGGGTGAAGAGTGAGGGGGTGCGCGAAGGAGAGGATGAGGAGGATGAGGGAGGAGTGGTGGAGGTAGGGAATGAGGAAGAGGAGGTTGAAGGCGGGGAATGGAGAGAGGACGGTAAGAAGGGCACGCGGGAAGAAAGGCGGGCGCAAGGGGAGGAGGGAGGGCAGGGGGATGGAAAGGAGGAAGGAGTGGGGGGTGCAGGGGAGGGGGGAGGTGTGGAGGGAGCAGGGGAGGCGGCAGGGGAAGTGGCAGGGGAAGGGGCAGGGGAAGGGGCAGGGGAGACAGCAGGGGAGGCAGCAGGAGAGGCGGCAGGGGAGGCAGCAGGAGAGGCGGCAGGGATGGAGATGGAACCAGAGGTGCTGCTGATGCGGCAGGAAGGCATTCGCGGGCCTGCAAGAAAGAGCACCGGGCCGGGCGTGAGCGATGGGGAGGTGGATGGGTTGGAGGAGGAAGGAGAGTTTGATGATGAGTATGAGGATGTGGAGGGGGATTATGAGGAGGGGGACGAGGAGGTTTACAGTGACGAGGAGTATACGGATGAAGAAGGGGAGTATGAGGAGGAATATGAGGAGGAGTATGAGGGAGAGTATGATGAGGAGTATGACGAGGAATATGATGAGGAGGGAGAGTATGAGTATGATGAAGAGGGCGAGTATGAGGAGGAGGGGGAATACGAGGAGGGCGAGTATGACGATGAGGAGTATGATGAGGAGGAGGTGGGGGAGGGGGAGGAGCTAGAAGGGGGTGTGGGTGCAGGCCGGGGCAGGGGCACAGCAGCAGCGGGAGCAGCAGCGGCAGGTGGGGTGGTGGGTAGAAGGCGGGTGGGAGGGGCAGTGGGAGGAGCGGGTGGGAGAGGCAGGGGAGTGGGCAGGGGCAGGCCGCCTAGACCCCCGGGAGGGGTGCGGAGACCTGTGGCGGCGCGAGGAGGGGAGGTGGGGGAGCATGGGGATGAGGAGGAAGGGGAGTTTGAGGACGAGTATGAGGATGGGGAGGGGTTGCATGAGATGGAGGAGGAGGAGGAGGAGGGCGACTGGACAGAGGACGAAGCTGATTTTGATGATGAGGAGTTGGGTGAGGAGGAGGACGAGGAGGACTTTTTGGAGGAGGGGGACGAGGTGGGACCGATGGTGCCGCGGAGGAGGATAACGGGGCGCAGAGGGAGGTACAGGGATCATGGGGACGACGAGGACGAGTATGAGGATGAGGAGTATGATGATATGGATTTTATTGATGAGTATGATGAGGAGGACGATGGGTTGGGTGAGAGAGGCGGGGAGGAGGAAGAGGAGGAGCGGCCACCGGAGTTGATGTATGTTCGCTCGCTGTCCACGCTTCGCCGCCCGGAAATTGCGCAGATGCAGGGCGGCGGCGTGACGCCCGCCGCCCGGCAGGTGTACTACGAGTTTGGGCCGATCGGGGCGGCACGGGTGCGCGCGCAGCAGTGCCGCGACCACTGGTCGTGGCTCTTCATGCAGTATCTAGAAACCATGCTGCCGCGCCTGGCAGTGCAAGATGACGACGATATCATGAGTCTCACCAGCACGGGGGATCATTTAGACGATGACGATAATCTCGCCTTCCCCAGCGCTGCCAGCAGCACTGCGTTTGGGAGCAGCAGAGGTGCGACGACGGCGGTGGCCGGTGGAGCAGGGGGGGGTGCGTGGCCGGAAGGAGGGCCGGGAGTGAGAGTGCTGCGGCCGGTGGGGCGCACGAACAGGAACTGGTCGGTGGCGGGGGCGTTGAGGGAGTTTGAATGGGTGAAGCGGAAGTTCCGGGGGGTGGCGGAGAGTAGCGAGCGGTTGAACGAGGTGCACGTGGGGGAGGCGTTTGTGGCGGGGCTATCCGTATGGCTCAAGTACTGGGAGCAGTGGGGGGAGAACCGACCCAAGTGGCAGGGCGAGGAGGAGGACGACAATGAAGACGACCCGGCAGCACCAGGTGGGGGCGGTGGTGGTGGCGCTGGTGGTGGCCCAGGGGGAGGGAGTCTCGGGGGCACGTCCCCTGTGCGATTCAATGACTCTGCGACTAGCTCCCCCTGGAGGGACCTTCCCAACAGCTCCAATAGCTCGCCCTGGCGGGGGGATCGAGATGACGGGGGGGACGGCAGGGGAAGGTACGCACACAGTGACCTGGGGGGAGGGGGAGGGTATGCGGGAAGCACAGGAGGAGGGGCGTACGGCAGTGGGAGGAGGCCTAGTAGCGTGTCTGCAGGGTTGTCAGGCGCGGGAGGGGACGTGCATACATACGGGCCCAAGCGCTGGGGCCCTGAGGGCAGCTTGCAGTCTCGCCTTGTCGCCGAGGCGCTCGGAACAGGACAAGCGCTGCCAACCACGTGCCAGCACGACGATATTCTCCGGGTGGCGGGGCTGGCAGCGGCGATCAGCAGCTGGCAACCGTCCACTGCGTGCATGTGCCTGCTGCGCCTACTCGACCGCATGGCTCAGTTCGAGCTCCTCTCCCTCGGGATTACCATCTCGCCGCACCGTGACGCAGCTGCTGTCGCAGCCGCCACGGCAGCAGCTTCAGGGGTTCACGGGTCAGTGAGAGGAGGAGGCGCGCTGGGGCCGTCGGCGCGGCATCACCTGGCAGGGATTGGCAACGAGGGGAGTATGCCGTCGTCGCCTGCTGGGTCGCGGCGGCGCTCGGAGAGTTTCACGATGGGCGGCGGGGGATTGTCGGAGCAGAGCGGGCCTATTCCCACGTCGTTCAGCGGGCTGGGGTCTGCTTTTGGCGCCGCGCCAGCGTCGGCAGCGCCGGCGGCACAGCAGCAGGCGGCAGCGGCTGCACAGGAGGCATCGGCAGCAGCAGGAGGAAGGGGAGGAGCAGCAGCAGCAGTGGCGGCACCGCCACCGCCACAGAAGAAGTCAGGAGGCGGGTTGCTTGCCTTCACTGCGAATTTCACCCGCCCGACCACTCCTTTCTTTGGCATGGGGTCCTCCTCTGCTGCCTCCCATCCCGCCCCCCCGCCTCCTGAACCCACTCCGCCGCCCGCCCCGCCGTCCAATGTGAGCTCGCCACCTGTCTCGGACCTGTCAGGAGGGCTGCCGATCGCTGTGGGGTCCATGGGGATGGCAGGGATGGGGGGGCTGGTGAGGGCTCCGGCAAACCTCCCTGCGTGCCGAGCGTTCGTAATGGCGTGCCTGAAGGCCATTCTCTCGTCCCAGTACGAGAAATCCGGAGGCGCAGCGGCGGCCAGCCGGAGAGCCATGTCCGCAGCAGCAGCGGCAGCAGCAGCCGGTGGAGGAGCGGGAGGCGGAGCGCTGTCAGGCGCAGACGGAGCGCTGCTATCAGTACGGTCAGCAGGGCGCAAACCGTGGTGCCCCATCCGCCTGTCGAGCCTGGCGGAGGTGGCGCTAGCAGAGGGAATCGCCCGTGCGAAGCACAGCGATCTCGTGGAGCGGTGTGAGGAGATCGACCGGCTGTATGACTCCCTGGGGCTTGGTCCGGGACTGCTGGCCATGAACCTAGCGGCTGAGATGCGGGAGCTGCATTTCCTGCAGCCGGGGGATTTGATCTCCCTTGCTCTGCACTACGAGCACATTGGGCTGGAGGAGGCTGCTTTCCACGTGTGCCTGCGGGCTGTTGCCTCGGGGAGACTCACGACAGATGGGTTTGACCATGTGATCCGCATGGTGTTCCTGGGCAGCGGGGCGGAGTCCATCAACGCGCGCTTCGCACGGCTGGCAACGGCTGTGAAGAACGCGCACATCGCGAACGTGGAGGCCACGGGAGCGGCAGCAGCAGGCATGCGCGCATCTTCCTACATCGCAGAGTTTGCAGATGCGATGCTGAGGAACGGGGAGCTGAAGCAGCACCACCCGTGGGCGTACGAGGTCACGCTCAACTTCCTCCGCATGAACACGCGCGGCGGGGGCCTGGGCGGAGGCGGGGGTATCGGAGGCATGGCAGCAGCAGGCGCCGGGGACTGGCGCGAGAGAGAGCTCTGTGCCCTAGTGACTCTGAACCGCTGGCTGGGACTCACAGCGGCAGGGGGGGTAGGAGGAGGGCTGGCGGGAGGAGAGAAGTCGCTAGAAGCGGCGCAGGACAGGGCGGTGGAGATAGTGGAGCAGATGGCGCAGCCGGAGGTGACGGTGGGGTGGGCGGTGTGGCTGCGGATGGGCAAGACGGTGGAATCGGAGCATAACCTGCCTGTGCTGCTCGAGTCCATGCAAGTCAAATCCATCATGCACGTCTATGAGGTGCGGTGCCTTGGATGGGTGGGGTGCGGTGGGGTTGGGTGGGGTGGGATGGGGTGGGGTGGGATCGACCGTGCAAGCATGCAGCCTGACTGAATATAATTCCGCAGCACGCCTCTCACAAGCACCGTCCCCCTTTGTGTCTCCGTCTCCCTCCCTCCACCCCCCCTTCTCCCTTCCTCCCCTCCTCCCCTCGTGCCGTCCTCCCGTCCTGCCATCCTCCCATCCTCCCTTCCCCACCCTCCCCCCGTCCGTCCGTCCCCTTGCAGAGCATAGAGGAGGACGGCACGTGTCAGGACGCGCAGCAGCTGGAGGTGTTCGACTGGGGGCTGCGAGGCATCCTGGTGGGCTGAGTGTGAATCCGCAGCAAGCCTCTCACAAGCACCCTTCTTCTGCGTCTCTCCTCTCTCTCCTCCTCTCCTCCTCCCTTCCTCCCCTCCTCCCCTCCCCCCCGCCCCCCCTCCACCACTCCTCCCGTGTCCACCCATCCCCCCATTCCCCGCCTTATGGCAGAGCATAGAGGAGGACGGCACGTGCCAGGACGCGCAGCAGCTGGAAGTGTTCGACTGGGGGCTGCGCGGCATCCTGGTGGGCCTACCAGAAAAGGACCCGGCAGCGGCGCTGCTGGAAGTGATCTACCCCCTGGAGGAGGAGAAGGCGGACCTCACGCTCGCCATGGCTGCGCGCCTGGCTGCCACGTCGTCCCCTGTGGACAGCCGCATGTGGCCGCTCGCCAACACCACGTCGTTTGTCGCCCACCTGCTCGTGCTCACTGATGGATGTGCGTGGATGGGGGGGAAGGGGAAGGGCGGAGGGAAGTAGGGGGACGGGGGGAGTGGGGTGAGGAGAGGGAGAGGGAGAGGGAGGGATGGGCGGACGGTTGCAGTGGGGGAGGGAGGGAAGGAGGGAGGGACAGGGGAGGGTGGGAGGCAGGGAGTGGGGAAGGAAGGGAGTTGGTTGCTGTGGGGAGAGCAGTGAGGCAGAGTTTAGTGTGATTAATGGGCAATCTAAGTCAGTGACGGGAGTCAGTGAGCGGTGGTGTTGTGTGAACAGGAGTCAGTAAGCGGTTCTAAGTGCTTGTTGTGAATCCCATATACTAACCTCGCCTCGCACTCCTCCTCTTATCCCCATCCCTCTTCGCACACCGCACCACACCCACGTGTTGCTGTGCGAGCAGGGGTGTTGGACGCACGGCAGATGTCCCGGGCAGTGAACGTGGCGACGAGGCTGTGGGGGTGGGCCATGCCCAAGCGCTCCCAGCTCATGGAGCAGTGCGAGGTGCGTGCCCTGGGGATGGGGGGCATGGGGATGGGGGGGCATGGGGATGGGGGGGCATGGGGACGGGGGGACCGTCGGTACGAGCAGGTGGAATGGAATGGGGGCGTGGGGATGGGGGTTGTTGGCCTGAGCATGTGGAATGGGGTCGTGGGGATGTGGGGCCTTGACTTATCTGTCCTTTTCAACCTTGGTGCCGTGCCTCCCCTGGCTGTCTCCTCCCACACGCCCCTCATGCTCAATTTCACGAATTGTCCCATTCCCTATGCCCCGTGCGCGCCAACGGGACATCCTATTGTTACAGACTGCGGACGAGGCAAGGGAGGTGATGGAGCGCAGTGCCGCTTCCATTTGGCGCTCTGTCGCTGCCTCAGGTGTGATGTCACGCCCTTCCACCACGCCCACGCCCACGCCCACGCCCACGCCCACGCCCACGCCCACGCCCACGCCCACGCCCACGCCCACGCCCATGCCCTCGCCCACACCCTCACCCATGCCCGTTCCCATGCCCATGCCCATGCCCACGCCCTCCCTTCTGTCCCTCTCCTTCCGCCGTTCCGTCACTCTCTCTCCAAGCACTCCCTGCCTGGCCTCGCCTCGCCACGGCACTCACACTCAACTCATACTCTCACACCCATGTCCTTCGCCTCGCTTTAACCTCCCTGGTGCCGCCATGAATCCTGCCCTCTCTCCCGCTCTCAACCCTGCAGGGGCACAGCCAGGAGCGTCCTAGTGTGCTTACAAGAGCACCCACACCAGCTCTTGTGCAGTCTGCTCCAGTTCAGTCCAGTCCATTGAGATTAGAGTGCGATCAAGTAGTGACAGAAGCATTAGGTGTGCTTGTGCTGTCAAGGAAAGCTCGAAATTACTTAGGGGTGGTAGGTTTGCTTGTGCTCTTGTGCTCGTGGTTTCTACAGCTGAAATGGTGTATCTAGTACGTGTTTATGGAGGTAGCAGATGAGGGCAGCGCTCTGGAGGGTTGTTTGCAACGCTGTTGTAACAGTTCGCTGTATTTAAGGAGGTTTAAGCTTCACTGAAGGACAACTGAAGGACCGACAACGCAGGTAGCATATTCAGGCCCCTTATTGGCTGTGGGGCAGGCTGAAGAGGGTCTTGTGGTGGTACCGTACTTACCCCATCCCTGCTACAAATGGCTGCATGGATCTGCCTGAAGGCTGAATGTGCACGAGGACTGACTGATAACTGCCACTTGCATTTGCCTCAGTGCGTTTGCGTGCGCTACACTGCCAAAACCATCATTCATCATAGTACGGTGCGGAAACGGAAGCTGCCTTCACTTACTATCAAAAGAAGCAACAATACGGTAGCCAAGGATGGCAAGGCAAGGCAACCTGATTCAGCAGCTTTATTCCACACAATGCTAGCTGGGCGGGGCGGGGCACTTATGCATCTGAGGTAGATGTTCTGCTGCTGTGCCCACCTCCGTGTACATGCTGCCGAACCGTCGTCCCATGCACCGGTGTGCGTCTGCTAACTAACTTGGGCTGGGTTGGGTTGGGTTGGCTGTGAGTCTCTAGCAATACTGCTGCTGTGTCTATGATTGCTGTGTCAAAGCGTGACCCTCCCGCACGCTGCCAGGCACGCCTTGACATTAGCGTCGCCCTGTGCCCCTTTGCAGCACGCAGCACACTGTGCTGCCACCTCGCCTGCCCCCTTCTCGGGGATGCACACTGCCATGCCCCACCGTTCCATGCCATGCCATGGTGTTGTGGGGGGGCAGGGGTGGGATAGAGCAAAGAAGACAGAGACAAGGATAAGGGGTAAGGAAAAGGAGACGCGATGAGGTACTGGGAACTGGGAGGGGAGGTTACTACGATGGGGTGAAAACCAAAAGGAGTACATGGGAAGGATGGGCGCTAGGCGTTGACACGAGGGGACGTATGGAAGGATCATTTGGCAAGTATAGCCCGGCGGAGGGGGGGGGGGGAAGAGGGGGAGGGAGCTCACTCTTGCATCCCTTGATGCGGCGGCAGTTGGAGAACTGGCCCTTGGTGCACGCACAGCGCTGGCACATGTTGCCCGCCTTGATCGCCCCCGATGCCACTCCGCTGCTGTAGAAAATGGGGCCCCACCCGGGCCCTGCGGAGACGCACTGCCCCGCGGACACTGGCGCACGGGGAGGGGGAGGGGGAAGCAGGAGGGGTTGGTTGGGTTGGAGTGGGGGAGCGGATGAGGTAAGGGGGATAAGGTGGGGATGTGTTGGGGGAATGATGCATTTCTGCTGCAAATGATCAAGTGTGGTGACTGGCGAGGTTGAGGGGAGGTGGGCGTACTTGCGGGGTGCGTGCAGGTGCCCACATTCACCTTCTTGACCTGGTTGACCACACACCTGCATTCACACCTCGCACACACACGCACACCCAAACACACAGAAACACACAAGGTAAGGGGCTGGTTACTGACAGGATGCGAATCACTGCAACGGGCATTTACGGCGCTTTCATACGCGCTCATCGGATACTATCTCCATGTATGTTCCTGCTGCATTTCCACTCGCACTAGCCCTGTATCCCCGCCTCCGCCTTCTCGCTCCGACAATCTCTCCTCCCCCGGCCGGGTCCCCCACTACTCACAGGCTCTGGCGCCCGGAGCACGCGGAGCCCACCGGCTTCCCCGCAACGTCCACGCGGCACCGCGGCCCCGGCTCGCACTCGCACGACGCGCCGGCAGCGCCGGGGAGGCGCGAGCAGGTGCAGTTGGGGCAGGCGTAGTTGGCGGTAATGCTGGTGGTGCCCACGGCGTACGACACGGACTGATAGATGCAGTAGTCGTTGGCTGGTGGCGGAGACAGCGGGTGCGCGGGGAAACGGGAACGGGTAAGTTTAACGGTCATTTAGCGCCGTGGATATGGCGGTTTTTTTCCTATGAAATCTTGTTGCGGACAGCGTGGTGTCATAACGGGGAAGAGGGTTGATTGTTAGAATCAGGCGGGTGAGTGCCACTGCGTGTGCTGATGGGGGCAAGCTAGAGCAGAATTTTTGATTGCGGGTAGCCCAGGGAACAGGGGGTCTTACATTTATAGGAGTCGACGCACACGCCTTGGAAGAGCTTATCGTGCGACGCGGGGAGCACCTGCTTCACCACGCACCTGCGCAGGAGCACGGAGCGGCATGGCGACAGAGAGCGAGGAGTGAAAACGGAGCCATTTGGAAAGACGCGATAAGACAAAGCATTCCAATGCTGCTCGGGACGAGGCGAACGCTCTGCTGGGCCAGAGAGGAGTTGAATGTGGGAGGTACGACTAGCTACTAGCACGCGACAAGACGTGGTTGATGGGGCTGATGGGGGTGACGCACTGGAAGGGTTGCTTGCAGCTGGGCTGTGCTGGCATGTACTGCTTGCTCCAGAAGCACGTCGCGCCGTCTTGCAACGGCGGCTTTGGCGCTGCTGACGCGGGAGATGCTCTCACTGCACACACAAAGCATCCAAACACGCGGCGATCAGAGTAATTTGGGAATCATTTGGGCCACGACCATGGGGATGTGGGAGTAGAATCTGCATGACTCATCTCGCATGTGAGTTGCGTGATAGCGCATGCCAGCTTACACGCGACGGAGAGGGCGAGAGCGGAGACGAAGAGAAGGAAGCGAGTCGTGGCCATGGTGGCTGGAGGTGCGACGTGCGAAGCTCGACGCTGGAGTTGCTTGAAACAGACGGTCGAATCTGAGAAGATGGCGGGGCACGTTCCGCGGAGTGCCGACTGGCAAGTAGTGCAGCAGAAGTACAGGCTCGGAGAAAGATTAAGTTTAGAGGAAGCCACGCGGTAATGCAGGGAGAACTAGTACTAGAGTGAAAGTGCCGTCTCTCAGGGCTTGAGTTGGTGTTGAAGAGGATTAGGGGTGTGGTGTGCTGGTGCGGATCGAAGAAAGACAAGCGGTGGAATGTCGGGTGGTTGTTGTGATGTCTGCGAGAAAGCGGTGGAGCTTTTGTAGCTGCAATGACGTAGTCACAATCAAGTCATCGAAGAATGTGCAATCCGCGCCGCCACAGTCATCGCGAAGCGCGAAGAAGCTTTGCCTCCTGCGGAGAGAAGTGGAATCCAACAATAATGTCACGTCAATAATGGTGGGTGTTGTCGAGTGTCCACGCTCGTAGGGAGGATGAGAATGTGTTCCGCGGATTACGCAACGAGGCAATGTACAGAGTAGTCATACGTGTACGATTAATTGATATACGTGTGAAATAACAAGTCAGGGATCCGTCTCAGTTCGTTGAAGTAGAGATCGCTACTGTGAGTAGAGTAGACATCAGATGCTAATTTTATTCCGTCAATTCTAACGTCATGTATTAATGTGGTTACATGGGCAGAATTTCAAAACGCTCAACTTAAAGCTCGCGTCTCAGATTTCCAACCTTTTAACACTTGGTTGGGTTTTCCCGTCTGTGATTGGGTGAAAAAAACACAGCGAACTCCCAAACAGTCGAGGCCAAAACAAACCAGGGTGGGTTGGTTTGGGTGGAAAACGAGCCAAGGGGGACAGGTTTGGTCCCGGGTTCTGTCAACGTTGAGTTCAGAGTCTCATTTTCGAGAGTTGTTAACACTTGGTGTGCACGGGGAAGTGTGCGACAGCCAACTTTCCCAAACCACCCCTTGCTTTGGTGTGCTTTGCGACAAACTCTGCTGTTACCGGATTCCAACCGTTTAACACTTGGTTGGATGGCAGAAATATGAGACGCGAGCTTTAATGGAGGAACGTGGATCTGGCAAGATCTGCAGCAGAGGAATCTCGGGAAAGCCTGCTGGTTTTGTGCCTGGCAACTTTCTGTGGAGGTCTCTTCTGTGTGGGCTGGGTGGGGTAGGGTGGGGAGGTGTTGGAGTTTTGCAGCTGGACGTTCACTGGTGAACTTATGACCAGACGATTCAAAGCGGGTGGGTTCCCGCGCTTTCCATGGTCGCGCCGGCGAATTAGATGCAGACAGCAGTACAACATTGCAACTTCCCGCCAATGGTTCGAGCCTTATCTCTTCCCCGATGCCATTTGGCAGCTCCTTGCTTCCCGAGCCTTTTTCAAACTGTGTTTTCGCGCCAGTTTCTCCAGCTGAGACGAGCAGCTATTGGTTCGATTCTGAACAAGCCTGCCATCGGCCAGCCATGGTGAAACAGTGGAGTACGGGTGGTCAAAGATGGGCTTTCGGTCGTGTGGAATGGGTTTGCCCCAGCCAAACCCAGGAACTGCATTCTTCGAAACATCGGCGCACTTGGAAAGCATTTTCAAGGCAGACTTTGTCCTCCCCCTCCCCGGACCCCGGACCAGACCCCGGACCCCAGACCCCGGAGCATCCATTCACCCCGCCAACCAATGGTTGCCCAGGAGCACCCGAACAGCCAGACTTTCTCCCCATTTCCTCAAAACCTCCGGAAAAAAAGATCCCTTCCGTTTTTTCATTGCCAACCGCCCGTGATCAACACACACAGTCCCCTCCCCCCTCCCCCTTCCACTGTGGCGCGGACCGTCCCACGTGTGTTGGACCTTCAACTCCCCCACACCCCTCCCTCCCCCTGTGTTGACGGATTTCCCCCTCATCCCACCTCAAGGCTCTTCCTGCTTCCCTCTGCTCCCCCACGCACCCCCCTTGCGCATATCCTGTCGTCCTGGACGGGGCGCACTTGTCAGGGAGCCGGACCACATGCGTATCACAGTCCGGCGGGCACCAGCGCAGCAAAGCAATCTCCTCCCCACGACCGCCAGCGGTACTGCAATGCAACGCGAGCAATCTCCAATGCTGTCAACGCCATCTCATCCTCCTCATTCCATCCCGTACTGCTGCTGCAACCTCCCTCCCACCCTGGCTTCCAAACCGTCCGAATCTCAACCGAAGGGGTTTGCATCCGCCCTATACAACTCCCAGATTCCGATCAACCTTCTCCATCGACCGTTTTCTTACCGCTCGCGTTAGTCATTGAACTAACCAAACCGGCGGTTTTCTCTTCTTCGACATGAAGAAAAATACCATCTCTCTCACTGTCTTGAGTCCGGTTTTAATCTGAAAAGGAAGGGATTCGTCGTTCCGGAATGGCAGCCATGGTGGGTCCATCTACCCCTATGGGGTGCGTGCACCCCTCCTCCGCCTCCTGCGATCCTTTAGACGAAGCAAAGTCGTCCAAGCCACGGCTCTCCTCTCCCATGCAAACGCAACCCTTTCCACCTCTCTCCCTCACGGACCGCATACCCAGGCCACCCGCGCCAACGAACCCCGCGGCAGTGCAAAGCTCCGCTGCAGCCGTACCCCCTCTCCCCCCGTCCCTTCACCAGAGCCTTTGCCAGAAGGTGCTTCAGGCGCGGGATGCGCAAAGCAACATTCCGTCGTCCTCTCCCCCAATGTCACCCGCCCTGAAACCGCTCTTCCTCTCCCCCATGTCCCCGCACACGCCTCCGCTTCCGCCCTTCGCGTCCGCGAGCCCTGTCGTCACGCCGTCGCTGCATCCCGCGAGCCGAACGCCGCATGCCGGCAGAGGGGCTCCAGGCGTCACGAATCTGCGACAGACTCCTTCAGGCGCGGATGATCGCACATATGGCGGCATGAAAGTCGGCATGTACCATCCGGAGCAGGAAAATCTGTGCCGGTCGCCGTCCTGGTAAGCCGGGGGAGGCGTATTGTGTTTTGTACTGGAAATGAAGGATCAGAAGAGTAATGCCTTCAAAGGAGGATTCCAGCCCTTTCGGCTGCTGCACTGGCTCCCTTTGTTCCCCATCTCACGACCTGTCCTGGACGATGCGACAGAAAAGCTTACCATTTCCGCCTTTTGTCTCTCTCCTCTCCTGCTTCCCCGCGTCTCCCGCTCCTGTGTCATGACCGCAGGCCAAGCCACAAGCGCAAGCGGCACGAGGTGCAGGACTGGTCGCCGGGCGCCCCGTGCGGCGTGCTCCGCATGACCGCCGGGTGCCCGTCGCCGCATCGCCTCAGCAACTGCAACAGCCCTGTTCTCGGCACGCTTGCGCCCGCGCGGCCGTTCGCGAGCGGAGGGTCCGCCGGCGCGGGGGAGGGCATCGGTGGCAGTGGCGGCGACAGGTGGACTCCGTCGAAGAGTCCGCGGTTGATGCCGCACCACATGGTGCGTCGCAGGAGTAGGGCAGAGTGAAAGCATTGGTGCTTCCAACCGTTGATTTCTCATGCCTCCCTTGTCGCCGTTATGTCTCGTCTTGTCGTGTGACGAGTCCTCATCCCGTTGTCCTTCTTTTCTCTCTTTCTCTCTGTGTCGCTCCGTCTTCCAGGATTCGAAAGCGACTCAACGATCTCCCCGCTCGGGCCGCTGTGATGCCGCTGCTGCTGCTGCTGTGGGATTCAGAAACAGCCCGGGAGCACCGCACCATCAGCCGCCACCGCCGCAACAGCAGCAGCAGCAGCAGCAGCAGCAGCAGCAGAGCATGTCTCCCGCATCCGCCGCGCGTCTTAGCAGGAGCTACTCGCAACCCACCCTGGGTCACCAGTCGCAAGGGCAGCCGTCGCAGCAGCACAGCGCGCACACTCCGAATATGCTCAGTCCCTTCAACCGCCCTCAGCACCACCCTCACGCGTACCCTCAAGCGCACGGCCCGCCGTCTTCTCCGCACGAGATCCGGCAGCACCCGTGCCCGTCTAACACACCGCAACTGCCGCATCCTAACTATGGCGCTCCGCAGTCCGCGCCGTCCGGCGCGCCATCGCCTGCAGCAGCCAGGGCATGCCCGCCTTGCCCCTCCCCGCTCGTTTTCCCGCAGCAGACCCCGCACACTCCCAGCCTGCAACCCGCGCAGGCGCCCTCCGTCCCCTCCAGCCCTGCGCCGGTGTCTTCCCCCAGCCTCTCCGGAAAGCCCGCGCTCGTGCCCATCGCTCCGCGGAAGATTCTCCCCGCCACCCCCACGCTTCACCCAAGCAGCATTCCGCCGGTGGGGCAGAGAGGCGCAAAGATCCTCGGACTTATGGGTCTCAACGTCGCGCCCGGCGCGCTCCCAAACCTTATGGCGCACCCTCCGCAACTGGGGTCCATGGGGGCGCACGCGGGCGGAGTAATGGGCATGGGCGCGGGGATGAGCATGGGTCCGCCTGGCTCGTTCCCCTCGTCCTCCCCCTCCGCTCTCTCCCGCTCCCAGAGCATGACCACCAGCAGGGTGCCTGTTCTCCCCTGCCCCTCCGCCACTGCCGCCGCTATTGCGCGAGCGCGAGCGTCAATGCCGCGGAGCCTCAGCGCGCCGCGTGTGCTTGCTGCGAACGGCGCTCCTGCTGCCTTAACTCCTACTGTTACCGCCGTGAACGGTGCTGGTGGTAACCTCGGCACCGGCAGCAGCGGGGGAGGTCCCATGATGGGCTCGCCGTTCCTCTCGCCTTCCCTTGCCGGCAAGCCGTCTCACATCGCCGGAATCCGTCAGCTCTGCCAGTCCCCTGCCGTCGCGCAGCTTCCGCCGCCCGCGCTTCCCATCCACGCGCTGCCCCCGCTCGGGGGTTCTCCCGCCGTTGGCGCGGGGGGCGCTGGCGCGGGCAGCCAGATGGGGGCTGGGGCGAACGTGGGCGGAACGAGGGCGGGTAGTGTGAACGCAGTAGCGCCAGCAATGCGGCAGGCAGGCATGGCTTGGGTGGACCGGCTTTCGAATCTGGCGCACCATCATGCTAGCAAGCAGCAGCCGCAGCAGAAGCAACAGCAGCAGCAGCAGCAGCACAGCAGGCAGCAGCAGCAGCAAACTCAGCCCGTGCAGCAGCAAGAGCGTGTGGCAGCAGGAGCATGCAGCTCTCCTGCTCCACGTACAAGCAGCGTGACAGGCGGCGGTGCGCCCACGGATGCCTCGGCAGCAGGTAGCCAGGCAGGCAGCGGAGTGTGCGCAGCGGGAAGCGAGCAGCGCACGGCTAAGACCTCCGCCCTGGCATCGGTTTCAAAGAACAAGGGAGCGAGTGCGGACGAGAGGGACAGCCGGGAAGAGGCGGAGGAGCAGGCGAAGGCGGGTGGAGCAAAGCTGGCGGCAAGCCCTAGCCTGGTGAGCAGGAACGTTCCGCTGCCGCTGCAGCAGGCTGCGCATCAGAAGTGTTCAGCCGGTGGGTTCTCTGTTGGGCCTGGCCTCGCTGCGCTGCAGCGCCGCCCCCTGCCTCCTGTGCCGGAGGGCGATGCGGATGCTGCCCCTGATGCTGCTGCCGCGAGTCTGCCCAAGTGTGAATCCGTGTGTGAGAGCTCCGTGCCTCCTGTCTCAAACGCGGGTCCGCCTTCTGCGTTTGCTGCTGATGCTGCCAATGCTGTTGCTGATGCTGATTCCGGTGCTGGTGGCGGCACTGCGTACACGGTGGCGGCGCAGCAGCATGCACGCAGAGCAGAGGAGAGCATCAAGACGGAGGATCAGCTGCAGGTGCACCAGCAGCAGCACCTTGCAGTGCCCCAGCAGCCATCGAATGCACAAGAGCAATCTTTGCTTGAGCTCAAGCCTGAGCATGAGCAGCAGCAGAATGAACAGCAGCAAAGCAAGGTGGAGCACGAGGAGCATCCACCGCCGCCGCAGCAACTGGAGGAGCAACCGACCCAGCAGCGCCAGGAGCGCCAGCAGCAGCAGCAACAGCAGGAGGAGGAGGCTCCCCAGAAGCAGCAGCAGGAGGAACCGCTGCAGGCAGCGAACGCAGCAATGGTAAAGGCAGACGAGGAGCGACAGGCAGTGCTGGAGAGCCGCAACGAGCCGGACTGCTCCATGGCACACTCAACCCCGCAGCCAACATCTCTCGCACACCCGCCCTTGGGCTCTCAACCTCCTGCCGCTGCTCCTCCTGCTGTTGACGCTGCTCCCTATGCGATGCCGATGGCGGCTGCTGCTTCGCCATCCGTCATCGCAGCACCTGCTGCTGCTGCACTCCCTGTGGGTCAGCCCGACTCCATGCCTGCCGGCCTGGGTGCCTCCCTGCCGCCTCTCTTCCCCGGCGAGCTCACCTACCCGGGCTGGCCTGCAGCAGATGAGTCGCTGGGAGGGGCGGGCGGCGAGGAGGACGGCGTGACGTGGACGGATGCAGGGCTGATGAGGGCGGAGGACATGGAGCAGAACGAGATGGAGGTGCTGGAGTGGTGCCCAGATGGCTCTGATACTGGCTTTGTGGTGGACGGGGAGTACTACTCCGTGCCTGGCGATGCTGCCATCATGCCCTCCCATGCGGAGCTTGCAGCGTTGCCTGCTGGCCCCGGGCCTGTTACTGCTGCTGCTGTTGCTGCTGCTGCTGGTGTGTCTGTTGCTGACCCTGTGGCCGGCTCTCTGGCTGTTCACATGGGTCGACCTGCGGCCGTGCATGTTCCCAATCAGCAGCCCAGCTTCAACGCCTGGCACGCTCCTCTTGCTCCGTCGCCCCAGGCTCATGCCTGCATGCCGCCACCGTCCTATCGTCCCTCAGACCCATCAGGATTCAATCCTGCTGCTGGTGCTGCAACAGCGGCAGGGTCTGCACAGGGCCATGGCTTTGCCGTGAGGGGCGGAGAGCAGGGGATGCAGATGGAAGGGGGTGAGGAGGCGGTGGGTGGTCTCGAGAGCACTGACAGTGTGGTGGGGCTGTGGGGTGCTTATGGGGAGGAAGAGAGGCCCCATAGTGGGGCGCACATGCTGTGCTGAGAGGGCTGCGTGTGGCATGTGCATGGGTTACGTATGTAGGGAGGTTGAAGGAGAGAGATGGACAAGGTATGCGCTAGGCGCAACACCATCTGCGTTGTGATTGTTGCGCATTTCTGCTTGTTCTTGCGTCTTGTTTGCTTTGTGTGTTTCATTCTGTGAGCGCATGAATGTGCGCGCGTGTGTGTCTGTGTGTGTGTTTTTCGTGCGTACACGTATGCCCGTGCATGCCTGTGTGCTGGTTTGTCTGTTTCTGTTCATGTATGGAAGCTTGTGCATCCATGCGTCACCATACTTGCCCTACCCTCCGTCACAGGCACAGCAATCGCTGGCCCCCGGGGGTAGGGCACCATGCAGCGTGCCTTGCTTATATCCTTGGCATGTAGCTACTACTATACACTACAATACAGCCCACAGCCCTCTTCATGTGCCCCTGAAGCCCCGTCAAGACGAGAACAGGCTGTGTGCTCCAAGGGTTCAGTTGGGGGGAGATGCACACTGCATGTGCTTGCAATCTTTCAAGTTGCTGGCTTCAAATGGTGGTGCAGGGTGGGTGAATTGTATGGCAGATATGTACGACTTTCATTGTAATATCTATTTCTGTACCCTTTCTTTTGGAATGCTTTGAAATGGTACCTCCGTTTCAACATTAGAATCAGAACTCGAGAAAAGGAGTATGAATAATGGACGAAATGAAACTTTAGGGTCTAGGTGTGCAAGTGTGCAAAATGCGATAGTGTTCTGAAAAGCATACCGGTATCTGCCTTGATACAAAATCCCCAAACACTGACGAGGCTTTCTGTACCGGATCTACTCAGCGCTTGGTTTTTGCGGGAAAGCTGACACCGAGTCGGTCGGATGCGAGCGAAATTGTTTCACCAGTGCAACAAACAACCCCCACTAGCCGTTTCACTTTTCTGTCATGCGCGAATCTCGCTGTCACCTCCCTTTCTCTCTTTATCGCTTTTGTCTTTCACCAGTTTCCGAGATTCAGATATTCATGTATGCTTCGTCAGCCTTACCATTCTGCTTCCCGTGATCCATTGTTTCCACTAGTTTTACGTGCCGAACCCTAACGTTAGCAACACAGAGTTTCGAGCTTTTTGTTCTTGCACCATTCCCTCGTTCTTGGAGTAGTTTGATGGGTGTTTCGCTGGTAACGAGCACCGATTGTTCCGCGCTCTCCGCCCATGCCTGCCAGCATTCACCAGAGTTCCCGCGGAGGAACTCCGTTGGGGAGGCCTCGCCGCATAGTGCACGCTAAGCGATCCGGTCGGGTTGCCGACGTGGGAACGGCGAGCAGCGATGCGCAAGCACACGCCGTATCCGGCAAAAGGCTTTCCTTCATGGATCTTGATCCAGAGACGTCGGATCATGCGCACTCGCAGTCATCTCAGCAGCAGCAGCCTCCCGCTGCCTTTCCTTCCGCCGCGTTCATCTCGCCCTTTTCCGTGTTCGGAGCAGCCGAAACGCCGCTAGTAACCCCCGCCGGACCGTCTGTAGCCGGGTCGGATCCCGCATCGATGGCTGCGAAGAAGCCTGCGAAGGTTGCAACGCAAGAGCCGCCGCTGTTTCGCTTCGGTACGGGGGGAACCGCGGCGCAGGCGCAAGCGCAGGGATCGAGGCCGCCGGGGGACTCGGCCGGCGCGCCGTCACGGGGCACGCACAGTCGGCGGGTAGCGCGAGGGGGTTGGAACCGGGGGAGGGGGAAGGGCGCGAGCCCGGAACCCATGCTCACGGATTCCGCCGAACCCGCCCGTGACGTGCCTGGTGGTCGGAGTGGTCCCGTGGGTGGCGCCGTGAGTGACGTCGTGGGTGGCGGCGGGGGTGACGGCATGGATGGTGTGGCTACGAACGGATGGACTTGGCTGAAACCTAGCAAGGTCGCCGGCGGGTCCGCTTTCGAGGTGAATCCAGCAGCGGGGTTCTCTTTCGGCAATGGCGTTTCGACACCTCGTGCGCCGTCCGCAACGGCGGGAACTGCTGCTGGTGATTTGCCTGACGATGGCCATTCAGGTGAATCTACCGAGTCGTTTGTAACAGCTGCTAGCGCATCCGTCTCTACCGCGTCTGCTGCCTCTGCTGCAACCGCCACTGCCGATACCGCTGCGCGTACCAGTGCTGCTGCTGCTGCTGCCGCGACTGACGCTCCGTCGTCTGCGCCGGCGTCAGTTAACGGTTCACCGGCCGCAAGTACTAGCGCGATGCCCTTTCCTTCATTCAATATCTTCGAATACCCTCGCCCTCACACCTCCGCTGCTTCCCCCTCGCCCGCACCTGCTCCGCTCTTTGGGACCGCCTTTCCCGTGATCTCCGCCTCCTCCGCCTTCCCCTCTTCCGCCTCACAATTGTCGTCTGTGCTTCCGCCTCCATTCGCCTCGTCCCTGTTTCACACCTCCCAAACTCCGCCGCTTTTCTCCTCGTCAGCGCCCTTTGCGGCGGGCCCTCCTGGAACCATACCGCTCTTTTCCTCCTCCTCCTCCTCCTCCTCCTCCTCCTCCTCCTCCGCCGCCGCTGTCGACGCTGCGCCAGTGTTCCAAACGACAGCTGCAGCCCCGTTCGCGGCAGCAGGCGCAGTGAGGCCGCGCATGGCGTCAGAGGGCGCGCGCGCGGGCGGGAAGAAGGTCAAGTCGCGCAGCTCGCGGGTGGCAGGCAAGGGGGGGATCGCACCGGCTGCAGGGGCTGCAGCTGCTACTGGGGTGGGTGGTGGGCAGGATGCGGACGGTATGGTACGCGATAATGGTGGTGTTGGAAGGGATTCGAGCAGCGGAGCAGATGCGGACGATGCTGCAGCAGTGGCGAGTTCTGGGTTACGAGCCATGGCTGCAGAGGGCGATGCCCATGTGCAGGTCATCGCCGCATCTGAACCTCCTCCTGCTGCCGCCACGGCTGCTGCTCCTGCGGCTGCTGCAGCGGCGGGGGCTGCTCCTGTTGCTCCTGCTGTCCCGCCCGTCTCTGCGTCTGCACCATCTCCGGCCAAGCACGAGCGCAGTGACGCCGCGAGCAGTGGGGGCGCGCAGCCCTCCCCTGGCTTCGTCTTCGGCGGAAACCCCGTCCCGTCCGCGCCCACTCCCGCGCCCACCATGCACTTCGACCCGCTTGCCCGCGCCAACCCCGCGCCCGCAGGTACAAGCGCAATCCCTGCCGCGCGCCTTGCCCCGCTGCCCGAGGTGGTGTTTGGAGCAGTGGCAGAGGGACACGTGGCAGCACAGGAGGCGCGCACAGGCACGCCGGGAATTCGTAGGAGGGCGATGGTGGGTAGGCGGGCAGGCGGAGGGAGGGCTGCTGCACGAGTGGGGAGAGGTGCGCGCGGAGTGGGGTCGGCGGACGCAGTGAGCTTCGCGCCAGCGCCCGCAGTTTCGAGTAGCGCAGCAGCAGCAGGGGCAGCAGGCGCAGGGAAGGCAGGGAAGGAAGAGGCAGATATGGGGTTGGGGCTGAGCCTTGGGCTGCGGCAGTGGGGCGTGACTGAGAGCTCTGGAGAGCAGGATGGCGCAGGCAGTGGGGCGGGTGGGGCCCGCGTGCGGATTGGGGAGGAGCAGATGCGCTCAGAGGAGGGCCTTGGCGCGGATACAGCAGCGGATGGGGAGGAAGGCGAGACAGGGGAGCAAGAGGAGCAAGGGGAGAAAGCGCAGCAGGGGGAGGCGAGGCACGCAGAGGGCGTTGCTAAGTCGCGAGAAGATGAGCAAGAGTCGCAGGGGCGGGCAGGGGAGAACGGTGAGAAGCGCGGTGCAGCAAAGGAGGCTGGTGCGGCGAGCGGCACCGAGGGAGCAGAGGAGAGGCGGGTGAGGGAGGAGCAGAGGGAAGCGGTGGGTGGAGAGGCGAGTGTGCGGGCGATAGGGGAGAGGATGGCAGGGGTGGAGATCGGTGACAGTGGGCTGGCGGCTGCAGTGGCGAGTGTGCAAGCAGAGATGGCGAAGATGGCCGTGAGAGGGGTGCTGCCTCACGGCCTCGAGAAGGACGTATACCCTCCTCATCCTCCTCCTCCTGCTTCTGCTTCTGCTTCTGCTTCTGTTTCTGCCTCTGCAGCTACTCCTACAATGAGTGGCACGAGTACAACGACCACCGTTGGCAGTGGTGCTGCTGCTGCTGCTGCTGCTGCTGCTGCTGTTGCTGCTGCTGCTGCTGCTGCTGGTGCTGGTGCTGCTGGTGGTGGTGGTGGCACAGGAGTGCGGGCAGGGCTGAGTGCGGACAAGGCTGGAGGGACGGGTGAGGGGAGTGAGGGTGAATCGAGAGTGAGGCAGGTGGAGAGTGTGGTGAGCCGGTTGCAAGAGCTGAGTGTGGGTGGTGGTGGTGAGCAGGGCCGTGGCGGGGGAGAGGAGGGTGGTCGTGAGGGAAGGGGGCAGCACGAACAGCGGCGGAAGGAGCATGAGCAGCAGCAGCAGCAGGAGCAGGTGGACGAGCAACTGGCGAGGTTGAAATTGTCTGTTGAAGCTGCTGTTGCTGTTGCTGGTGGTGATGGTGATGGTGCAGACGAGACGGAGAGTGCGAGGGGGCAGGAAGGAAGCGGAGGAAGCAACGCAGCAGCAGCAAGCAGGGAGGGAGCCGCTGCAGCGGCAGCAGCAGCTGTCGCAGCAGCAGCAGCGGCTGCTGCCGCCGCTGCAGCAGCAGAGGAAGATGCAGAAGCAGCAGCAGCAGTGCCGGATCTCCTAGCGAACCTGAATCTCAGCTCGCTCCCGCTGAACCTACCAACGGGCCCAGGGTCAGACGAGAAGCTCAAGCTGTACATGGATGGGCTAGCGTCTGGTCTCAGACTCGGGCTGCGCCTGGGGAGGGAGTCCTCTGTTGGCCCAGGCCCCACTGCTTTTGTTCCCCCAGGGCCCTTCACTCCCCCAGGACCCGCGGCTGTGTCCCCAGGGCTCACCACTGCTTCACCACCTCCTCCACAGCCGTCTCAACAGACTTTTGCAGCAAGGCAAACGGCCCCCCTTGATGCATCTGCTTCACCTGCTTTCACTGGGTTTGCTGCTGCCACACCGCCGCTCAACACCACCCCTGCCTTTGTCTTTTCAACGCCTAACCCCAACTCCCACATCCGTTTTTCTGGCCAGTCGTCGCCGTCGTTACACACCCCACCGACGTCTTTTGGCTCCTCGCCCGCGCCAGTCGCCTCCCCGCCTTCCTTTTCCACACCACCCTTTTCCACGCCCGCCACTCCCCTTTTTGGCTCACCGGCTGCTGCAGCAGCACCTGCTGCTGTTGATGCATCTGCTGCTGCTGCCGCTGGTGGTGTTGGTGCGGCTCCCGTGTTCTCGTTTGGGGTTGCGACAGCGTCTGGTACTGAAGCTCCTCCGTTTGTGTTTGGGAAGGGGGCGAGGGTGGGTGGAGAGCGAGGTGGGCACAGGGGGCGAAGCAGGGCGAGTGTTGACAGAGCCAAAGGGCAGCCTGTGGGTGAACACACGACTGCTCCCGCTGCTGCTGCGCCTGCTGCTGCGACGCCTTCTGCTAGGAATGCAGCCCCTGCTGCCGCCACTCCTGCTGCTGTGCCTGCTGCTACTACAGCTGCTGCTGCTGCTGCTTCTGCGGCGGCTGGTGGGAAGGATGCATCAGCAGTGGAAAGAGAGCCAGTCCTCAACGTGCCTGGGCCATCCCTGTCATCATCATCATCAGCATCATCATCAGCATCGTCAACAGCTGCAGCAACAGCAGCAGGAGCCAGCACTGCCGCCGCCGCCGCCACCGCCCCAGCAGCAGCAGCGCCGGTGTTCGAGTTCGGTTGCACATCAGGAGGGGCACCGTCTGTGAACCGTCAGGAGTTCACCTTCTCGTTCACGTCCCCTCTCGCGCCCTCCTTGTCTCTGCCCACTCCCTTCGCGCCCCTCTTCACCACCCCGCCATCGGGAACGCCATCCGCTGCAACCAGTAGGAGGGGAAGTCAGAAGAGCTCTGGAGGAAGTGGTGGTGCAGGAAGTGGTGCGAGTGGTAGCAGCCCTAGCCCCATGGAGTGCTCTCCTGGGGAGGCGCGGTTCCCTCCAGGCGCTACAGGCGAAGGGTTGTCAGGTTATGGTGCGGGTGGTGGGAGCAGTGGGGGAAGTGAGAGGAGGGGGGGCGATGGGGAGGCTGTTAGGGGTCGTGAGGTGGATGGTGTTGGAGCGAAGCTGGAGCAGATGGGGATACGGGAGGAGAGCGCGAGACAGGGGGATGGGGATGCGGAAAGCATGGAGCAGCAGGAGCAAGAGCCAGGGCAGCAGCAGGAGCAGGCTAAGGGGTTGTTTGAGGATGTGGGGTTGTTTGGAGCGACGGGCGCAGCGGCAGCGCAGGCAAGAGCAGCAGAGGTTCGACTGGAGGACCTAGCTGGGTTCAGATTCGCTGCAGGGGCTGCTTCCCCTGGCGGCAAAACGGGTGCTGCTGCTGGGGGTGGTGCTGGTAGTGCGAGGCACAGCCGCCACACGCCCCACCGCATGGGCCAGGGGAGCAGGAGGGGGAAGGTGTCTTCTAGGGAGAGAGCTGCTGGTGCAGGGGGTGCTGGCTCTGCTGCTCGCGTGCCTTCTGCTGCTGCTGGTGCAGCTTCGGGTGATGGGTCTGCCTCCGCTGCTGCTGCTGCTGTTAATGTGAAGGCCACGGGTGACGCTGCAAGGACTAATCGTTTTGCTGCTGGTGGGGCAAGTGTGAGGAAGGAGGCTGGGGCAGGAGCAGGAAGAGCGGGAGAAGAGCCTGCGAGGGCAGCAAGGAGAGGCATTGAGGGGGCGGCCAAGGACGCGGAGCAGTCATGCGAGAAATGGAGGCTCAAGTACGTCCCTGCTTACAGCCCTTTCGTTTCCCAAATCCAATCCAATTCTCTAAGCCACTCCCTCTCTCCTTCCACCTGCCTATTCACCACCACCAGCACTCCCCTGTCACCTCTGCCATCCTCACCATTCCCGTTCCTCCCTCACCCCCTGCCACTCGCACCCTGTCCTTCCCCCCCGGCCTGTCTTGTATCCCCCAGGGGCAACCAGGTGTATGGGAAGGGCGAGTACGCGAGAGCAGAGGATTTCTACTCGCGTGGGCTCAGCACAGCAGCGGCCTTCACAGCGTTCCCCGACTGCATGCGTGCTGCCATGCTGTGCCACAGCAACCGCGCCGCCACGCGCAAGCACCTGGGGCGGGTGCGAGAGGCCCTGCGCGACTGCCGCGCTGCGCTTGCTATTGACGGATCGTTCTCGCGCGTGCTGCTGCGCATGGCCAGGTGCGTGGTGGCGGAGTGTGGTGGTGTGCGTTATTAGACGAAAGCTTCTGGTTTCCTGTTTCCACTTTCCGCTGTTTTTCCATTCCAGTCCTGTGACTCTCACAGCGCAGCACACTTTTCGTGACTATCACGTTGCGTCTTCTCCAATGCTTTCTCTCCTTGCACCTCCCACCCCATCCCCCCCTCTCCCACCCCCCCATGCTCTCCCCTGCCGCTTCAACTCCCCCATTCCACCAACGCACCAATCCCCAGCTGCCACTTGGCACTCGGTGAGCTGCGAGAGGCACGCCAGGTGTACCTGTCTCTAAAGCAGCAGCCCTTGGGATTGCCGCAAGGTGTAGCAGGCGGAGATCCCAAGGTGGCGCGCGAGGCGGAGCAAGGGCTATTGCAGGTGGAGCAGGTGGAGGGGAGCATGGGGAAGGCTCTTGCTCTGCTGCGTGTGCCTTCACATGTCTGGCCTGCAGCTGTTGCTGCTGCAGGGGGTTCTGGCGGGGCAGGGGCAGCGGCAGAAGGGGCAGCGGGAGGGATTTCGCGGTCAGCATCAGCAGGGGCGGTGGGGGGGGTGGGAGCAGGCGGGGGAGCAGCAGGAGCGGGAGGGGCGGCGGCAGCAGGAGCGGCTTCGGGGCTGGTGATGGGGAAGGAAGCGGAGGAGGCGTATGGGCTGCTGGAGAGGGTTGGGGAGGTGTGTCCGTACTGGGAAGTGCTGCTGTGCGCCAAGGCACGCGCTCTGCTGCTCGTGAGTGCCGTTGGGGGGATGTGGGGGGAGGAGATGGAATGAGCGACACAGTGGGAGGTGGTGTTGGGAATGTTGAAGCATTTTGGTGGGTTTAGAGTTTACCACCAAGTTGTTTTGCATGGCTCTCCCCTGTTGCTCTTTGCGCTCCCCTGGCACATGCTATCTGCAATCCCTTTCTTTCCCTCTCCTTTCTCTTCTCTCATTGTGTGCCTTTGTGCCTTCCTCCCATGTCTCCTGAATATCTATCTGTCTGTCTGTCCTCCTGTCCGTCTGGCTGTATGTCTTGGCTGTCTGGCTGTGTGTGTGGGTATGTGTGTGTGTGTGTGTGTGGGGGTATGTGTGTGTGTGTGTGTGTGTGTTTGTGTGTGTGTGGGTATGTGTGTGTGTGTGTGTGTGTGTGTATGTGGGTATGTGTGTGTCCGTGTGGGTATGTGTGTGTGTGTGTGTGTGTGTGTGTGTGGGTATGTGTGTGTGTGTGTGTGTGTGTGTGGGTATGTGTGTGTGTGTGTGTGTGGGTGGGTGGGTGCACCATCAGTTGAGTCGCTACGAGGACGCGTGCCACCTGTGCGAGAGCACCTTCTCTGCCTCTGAGAGCAACCACGCCGCACCCGCTGCTGCCGCGGGCGCGAGCAGCAGCAAGGGGCAGCAGGGGCACCTGGTGTGGCGGTGGGCAGTGGTGGGGCGGGCACGGTTCGGGCAGGGGCGACTGGAGGATGCGATAGAGCAGCTGGCACGGCTTGACGGCCTGGCCCTGGATCCTGAGAGCAGTGCTGGGGATGCTGGTGGTAGTGGAGGAGGTGAGGGTGGCGGGGGTGGAGCAGCAGCAGGGCTGTATGCAGTTGCTATTCCCGATACCACTGCGCCTTCAGACTTCACTCGGTCCATCCGGGAGATGCTCCGACTCAAGGTGGGTGCTTCTGCTCTGCTCTGCTCTGCTTCCCCGCGCTGCTTGCTGCACTGTGCACTGGTTGGGTAACTAACACCTGTGGAAGGGGCTCCAGGTTCATGTGCCATTGTGCCATTGTGCCGCTCTTGTGCTGTGCGTCACCCTTGCTGCTCCTTCCTGGTTGGGAAGTCACAGGGTGTAACACTGCGCGCCGTCACCACAGCCATCTGACCACCTGCACCGTTCCCTTCTCACTGCTCCTCTCCACTTCTCACTGCTCCTCCGTCTCCTTTCCTTCACCACACCCTGATCCTCTCTCTCCTTCACTCTCGCCCTTGCCCACAGGCAGCAGGCAACGAGGCGTTTCAGGCGGGCAGGCACGAGGAGGCAGTGGAGCGATACACAGCCGCCATCACGCTGCCTGCGCTCGCTGCCTCGCGCCCCTTCTCCGCCGTGTGCTTCTGCAACCGCGCTGCTGCCAGCCATGCCGCGGGCAACATTGCAGATGCCATTGCGGACTGCAGCAGAGCCATCGCGCTCGATCCCTCCTATGCCAAGGTGCGCACACGTGCTGGCTGTCTCATGAGCAAGGACACACGTGCTGGCTGTCTCATGAGCAAGGACACACGTGCTGGCTGTCTCATGAGCAAGGACACACGTGCTGGCTGTCTCATGAGCAAGGACACACCAGTGCTGTCTCATGAGCAAGGACACACCAGTGCTGTCTCATGAGCAAGGACACACCAGTGCTGTCTCATGAGCAAGGACACACCAGTGCTGTCTCCTCCTCTTGATACGTTTTGAACACTCTTTTCTCCACCTTGCATCACCACTTGGCCTTCTCCCCCGTCTCCCTCACACACACCATGTCGCTTGCTTGCTCTGTTACCCATCACCTGAAACCCCCTTGTACTCATACACTGGCCCTCTGACCTCCCTGGGCGCCTCTCTGTGCTACCTGCCTCCTGCCATTTTGCCTAACTACCGTCTGCCGTGTGCGCCATCTCCTCACAGGCCATCTGGCGGCGTGCCACGCTGTGGGAGAGCGCACGGGAGCACGAGCATGCACTGGCAGACCTTGACCGCCTGCTGCTGCTCGTGCGCGGCAAGGCGTGCGCTGGCAGCGGCGGCAAGAGCGGTGGGAAGAGCGGGGTGGGCAGTGTGGTGGATGAGCGGCAGGTGAAGGAGTGTATGGGGCGCGTGCAGAAGGAGGTGCAGCACGAGCAGCAGCCCGACCACTACCTCATGCTGTACGTACGCCCTCCCATCGCCTTCCTTGCTCACATCACATGGCCTGTTTTGCATTATTCGTTGAGCATCGGCTTTGGGGCTTACGCTTAATGAAACAGCCGTGTCCGCCTTGGGTCTTGCTTGGTTGGTACTCTCCGTTTCTGATGGTGTCTGTCGATGATCTTGTTCTTCTTTGAACATTTGTGCGTGGGCTGTGCTGTGTGTGTGGCAGGGGCATGGACCATGCATGCACGGCAGCAGACGTCAAGAAGGCGTACCGCAAGGCAGCCTTACGGCACCATCCGGACAAGGTAAACTTCCTCTTCTCCGCTGATTAGTGGATTGCTCTCGCACTGCATACCGTGTTACATGCAGCGTCGTCCTCTTGTGCTCTGCTGGTTCTTGTGTTCAGCTCATGCTTCCCTGCTCTCTGTAGCGGATCGTGTGTTTTTCCCATGTTTTCCTCCATACGCATCTCTCTCCCTGCCCCTCCCACCCTGCATCTCTCTGTTCTGCAGGCGGCGCAGCTGTTGTTTCCAGGGAGGGGAGATGCGGATGGGTGGCTGAGCAGGGAGTTGGGGGAGGAGATACAGCGCGATGCGGACCGGCTCTTCAAGGCCATTGGCCACGCATACAACGTGCTATCTGATGAAACCAAGGTGCTCAGCTCCCGCCACCACCTCTTTCACTATTTCCCTTGCCTCTTTCCCTGCTCCTTTCCTCCTCCCCACCCTCCCTCCTCCTCCCCCCAGCAACATTTTACGTACCACTTTTTTGTGAGACTTGTACGCCTGTCTCCGTGCTTATCCATGTATGTGCCATTCCTTTCTCATAGTAGTTTCCCTAACTGCTGGCCTTTGTCCGTACCTGTACGGTTTGGTTTTGACTTAATGCCATTCATTTCAGAGGACTGAGTACGATGCACAGGAGCGGGTGCGGAAAATGCGGTCTCGGTACGCATACGCTGATGTATCCGCAGCTGCGGCAGCTGCCGCAGCGTCTGCTGCAGCAGATGATGTATTCGGGTCATCATTTGGATACGGTGGGCGCGGCAGCAGCAGCCACAAAAGCCGATGGGGCAATGAAAGCTCATGGGAGCGGCGACAGGTGGGTTCCTTCTTAGCTCCTTGGCATGTTCCCATGTTTCTGAGATATGTTTTCTTCGCAGTGACAACTTTGAACCATGCTTTTCTTCTCGTTGCCTTTTACAATGCTGCATCTTGGCTTCACACTGTTGCGGTGGTGCTGTGGCTGGCCTTGCAATGCATGCATCAGGACTATTCCGGGGCTAGTACCCGCAGCGGTGCTTCCACCCGTGGAGGGGGCACGGGAGATAAGGCAAGGCGAAGCAACCAGGAAGCACACTCAGGCACTCGGTCCCAGCAGCAGCAACAGCAACCCCACTGGAGCGAGCGGGCGACAGGTGGGGGAAGCAGCAGGCGCAATCAGAATAACGCGCCACGGCATGCTGGTGGTGCCGCGGCCAATGGTGCTGGTAACAGTGGTGGTGCTGGTGGTGCTGGTGCTGGTGCAGGCAAGCGTGGTGAGAGTGCCAAAGGGGGTTCTGGAAACAGGTGGGAGAGACGGCGGGACTGGGAGGGTGAGATGTACGACGACGACTACGAGAATGTAGATGACTACAGCTTCTATGACTATTGATCCAAGCAATAGCGGATGTACTGTTTGTACTAGAGGACATGTTTGTGTCAGCTTGTGGTTCAAGGATTGCTCTCATCAGCTTGAATTATGTTATTTAGGTGAAGTAGTTCTTCACTGTGTAGTTTTGTAACAAATTTTAAAAACGCAGTGGGGCTTTTCTGTGTGCTGTGTTGGATGTCAAGACACGTGGGTCTCCACATCTCCACGTCACTGTGGTCCCACGCATGCACCACCCGAAATTGCTCTGGGGGGTCAGAACCGTCGATCGGAAGCTTCAAACCAAACTCGCTAGAAAGTAGACACGCTGTCCGCAGCGGGTTTTCAGCGAATTCGCCCGGCGCATGGAGAGCGACCTCATTTCACTTCATGGGTTCAGGGGTCGGCTCCTCACCTCCAGCATGATCGAACCAGGGGAAATACCCCCCGAGACCGCTCGCAATCGGTGATCTACCCACCTGCTGTTGGTGACTCTGCTGGCGCAAAAGTGGTCCGAAATATCTTTCTTTCGGAAGATTTTCGCCATTCCATCCAACCAAGCCCATCAGGCGTGGGGCAATAGTATGTGTGTGGAATGGCCCTGCCCTGCTGGATTTCGGCCTCTGTTTTGCTGCAACTGCTGTGCGCAAATCAACACAGTGAACCGATTGAATATCTTGTGAGCTCCCCGACGGAGCGGAATTGGCGAGATCAAGCGGGCTGCCATCGAGCATGCGCGCTCAACTTGCGCCCATTTTCCACGCCGAATTTACCTCCGCGATCCTTAGCGCTCCGACCAACCGGAACGGTTTGTCCGCGACATCTACGGCTAGTAGGCGCCCCGTTATAGGCGTATCGCGACGTGCGTTATTGCCCGTGAGCGTCAGCAGGCAGCGAGTGGTGTGCGAAATGTCGGACGCGGTGGTGAACGGCTTGGCGGGGGCGTGCGGCGGAATCCTCGCGCAACTCGTCACGTACCCGCTGCAAGCCGTGTGTTTTTTTGGAGCCTTGCAGCTCAAACCGCAGTTTTGCTTGGCCTCGTGGGCTACAATTTGCGCAATTTAAAGCCCTAGCTGGCCCAGGCCACACCGTCGCAACTGCTCATTCCGCGCCTTTCCGGCTGCCTGGATGCGTTACCGCTAGCAATTCAGCAATCAACAAATTCCGGGGTGTGTTTCGTGCGTGGTGGTGCCGTGGGTGTGATCTGGCAGGTGAACACGCGGCAGCAGACGCAGCGACGGTTGCTAGCGAGGGAGCAGAGAGACGGCGCGCATGGCGCCGGGGAAGGCGCCGCTCCGAGTGCGAACGGCGCTGCTGCGGCCGGGACGGGTCAACGGCGCGCTGTGGCGCACAAGAGCACGCAGCAGGAGATGTGGGAGGTGATCAGACCAGCCCCTGAACGCCCGCAATTCCCCTTCCAGTTCCCCTTTTCTCCCGCGTCCCCGCAAGCCTCCTCCGCGCGCCAACTCCGCGCGCCACGCGCATCTGCGCACGCTGCCCCTCCCTGCTCTGCCCCCTCACCTCTCATCTCTGCCCCCCTCCACCCCCCGCTTCCCCCCCCTCCTCCCCCCCTCTCTCCCCCCCGCGCGCGTGCAACCCTTCCGCTCTCCCCTGCTGCGCGTGCAGATCTTCCAGCGGGAGGGCTTGGCGGGCTTGTACCGGGGGCTGGAGCCGTCACTCGTGGGCACCGCGTGCTCGCAGGTGCGCCTCCCCTCGTTCCCCTCCCTCCCCTCCCTCCCCTCGCGCCGTTCCCATTCGGTCCTTCTCCCTCCCCTCCAACCCATCACGCTTGCTAGCATAGCATCGTTCCCGTTCTTCGTTCCGCTCCTGCCACCATCAAGCCTCTCAGGCCGGGCTGTTTCCATTCCTTCTCCTTTTTCCCCTCCCCCCTGCCCCATTCCCTCCCCCCTCCTCCTCCCTCCTTCCCCCCCCCTCCCCGTCCGCTTCGTGGTGCGCGCAGGGCGTGTACTATTTCTTCTACCAGCTATTCCGCAGCCACGTGGAGCAGTTAGCAGCGGTGCGCAAGGCGCAGGGCATGGGCAGCGGGCAGGTCACCATGATCACATCGCTGCTCGTCGCTGCGCTTGCTGGGTGCGTCCCCTGCTGCTGCTGCTGCTGCTGCTGCTGCTGCTCGCGTCGTTCTGTGCGACCTCTTTCTGCCCTAACCTCACTAACACATCGCGTTCTGCCTCCTCCCTTTTTCGCTTATCCCCGTGCTCCCTGCGTGCATGTGCATGTGCATGTGCATGTGCAAGTGTGTGTGTGCACGTGTATGTGTGTGTGCATCGGTGTGCATGCGTGTGCATGTGTGCATGTGCATGTGTGCATGTGCATGTGTGTGTGTGCATGTGTGTGTTGCATGTGTGTGTGTGCATGCGTGAGCATCTGTGTGCATGTGTGTGCATGTGCATGTGCATGTGTGCATGTGCATGTGTGTGTGTGCATGTGTGTGTGTGCATGCGTGAACATCTGTGTGCATGTGTGTGCATGTGTGTGCATGTGCATGTGCATGGCACCAGGTCAGTGAACGTGCTACTGACCAACCCCATCTGGGTCATCGTCACTCGCATGCAGGTATGCTGCCCACTTCACCTTCCCCTTCACATTCCCCCTCCTCTTCCCCTTCCTCTTCACCTTCCCCTTCACATTCCCCCTCCCCTTCCCCTTCCCCTTCCCCTTCACCTTCCCCTTCCCCTTCCCCGTCCCCTTCCCCTTGCCCTTTCCCTTCCCCTTCCCCTTGCCCTTGCCCTTGCCCTTGCCCTTACCGTTCCCCTTCCCCCTTCACTTTCCTTTCCCTTTCCGTTTCCATTCCTGCCATGAACCTTCCCTTGTGCCTCTCTTTTCCGCTTTCCCTGCAAATGCCCCTCCCACTACCCAGAATTCTTGTCTACTGTTTCAACTCCTCTCTCCTCCCTCCCTCCCTCCCTCCCTCCCTCCCTCCTCTCTCTTTCCTCTCAATCTGCCCACCCTCACACCTCACGCTTTCCCCCTATTTCCCGCACCACCCGTCGCTGTCGCCTCTCATCCTTGCCACCTGCCAGACCCAGACACAGGGCCTGCCGCCGCCCGTCTACATCGCGCGCCACCCGGTCTCCTCCCAGCCCGCCAGTGCGTCGCCGCCCACACATGCTCATGATGACGCTGCAGGGGCTGCGAGTGATACCCGGGGCAAGGAGGCAGTGGCACAGCGGTCAGAGGGAGTGGGCGGGGCGGGAGGGGTGCTGGTGAAGAGAAACACAGCAGCAGGCGCAGAGAGGGGTGCAGGGGGTGTTGTGTCGGGATCAGGCTCGGGCACATGTGATGCCACAGGCGGGGGTGGCAGTGGCGGTGGTGACTGGGGGGGGGGAGCAAGCGGAGGAGGAGGGGGGGGTGGGAGGAGCGGTAGTGGCGGAGGCAGTGGGAAGGGTGGAGGGGGTGGAGGGAGGTGGGGCGAGGAGGGGAGTGGGGAGGGGCCGTTGCGGGCGCCGGGGAGTGGAGGGCAGCAGCTGGTGGGGCGGCCTCATGGGGTGCTGGAGACGGTAGGTGCTGTGCTGTGAGGGGTGAGGGGTGGGGGGAAGGGAGGGCATGCGTGGGCAGCACTTGAGCAGCTGCATGGAAGGTACATCAGGGCCTCACTTTATCTTCATGCTTTCTCCTCTCCGTGCTTGCTCGTGCATGCTTGTGACTGCATGTGCGTGAGTGCGTGCATGCATGCGTGAGTGTGTCCATGCATGCGTGTGTGTGCGTGTGTGTGCATGTGTGTGTGTGTGTGTGTGTGTGTGCGCGTGAGTGAGTGCATGTGTGTGTGAGTGCATGTCTGTGTGTGTGAGTGCATGTGTGTGTGTGTGTGTGTGAGTGCATGTGTGTGTGTGTGTGTGGGTGCGTGTGTGTGGGTGCGTGTGTGTGTGTGCACTCGTGCGTGCATGGCAGATATGGGAGCTATTTGAGGAGGCAGGCATCCTTGGATTCTGGAAGGGAGTCTTTCCAACCCTGCTCATGGTAACCCCACCTCTCTCCATCTTTCCAACCATGCCATGCCATGCCATGCCATGCCATGCCATGCCATGCCATGCCATGCCATGCCATGCCATGTGTTCGTTCCTCCCCTCCCCCCCACCAGGTGACCAACCCCGCCATCCAGTTCATGATCTACGAGACGTTGTTGGCGCGCATCACAGCAGCGCGCCCGGCTGCCAGGGGAGGCGCCAAGTCCGCCACCTCCACTGAGGTCCGTGCTGCTCCCTGCATCTCCCCGCTGCTCCCTGCGTCTTGCCGTTTGGTGCTGTGAGTGACGCGTGCGCTGCCATGGTAGGCCCGTGTGCAAGGCGAGCCTATCGGCAAGCGGGGGTCATCAAGAATGTGGCCTTACCGCATGCTCTCCTTCTTTCCAAGAAGCAAGAAGCAGCGCTGCCATGGTAGGCCCGTGTGCAAGGCGAGCCTATCGGCAAGAATGTGGCCTTACCGCATGCTCTCCTTCTTTCCAACCCATGTGCACCGCACCACCCCCCCATGCAAGCAGATCTTTCTGGTGGGGGCACTGGCCAAGATAGGAGCCACTCTCGCCACGTACCCCATGCTTGTCGTCAAGGTGAGGGCGGGTGGGGGCGTGCCTGTCAGTCAGCACATAAAAGGAACTTGCAGAGAGGTCTAGGGTGGATGGAACTGCAAGTTTCTTTTATGTTCGACACCTCAGCCTCCGGTTCTTCTTGCCTTGCTCACTCCGTGCTCACCTTTCCGTCATCTTGTACTTTCTCTTCGAACCACCCGTCCCTCCCGTCCTCTATTTCTCCTCCCCTTTCCCCTCTCGTCCCTTTCTTTTGCTCACTTCCACTCTCCCTCTCCCCATCCCATCTTCTCTCCGTGTGCAGTCGCGCCTGCAAGCGCGTCACACGGCAGGCCAGCGCTACTCAGGTGTGTGTGCGGCTCTCTCTTCTCTCCCCTCTCCCCCCACACCACACTCTCTCTGCCTCCACAATGCCTTTCAAACAGCTCTGCCTCACACTCACTTTGTCCTCTCTTCATCCGTCGCTCTCAGCCCGCAATATTTTGCCTCCCAACCCCGTCCAACCCTTCTCAAGCCCTTCCATCCCCTCCCCTTCCCCACCGGCACCATTCACCACCTCCTTCACCCACACCCCCCCTCTCCCTTCCCTCCACTTTCTCTCTCTCTCCTCCACCGCCCCCTCCCTTTCCTCGATTCCCCCTCTTCCGCCCACAACCCGCTCCCGTCACCCTGCGCGCAACAGGCATGTGGGACGCGATATTCAAGATAGTGCGACACGAGGGCTTGCGGGGGTTCTACCACGGGATGGGCACCAAGATGGCGCAGAGCGTGTTCGCGGCGTCTCTGCTCTTCCTCACCAAGGAGGAGATCGTCAAGGCCGTGCGTGTCGTGCTCGACCGCCGCGCCCGCCTGCTGCTGCACCCCGCTCAGAGGCGCGCCAGGGCCGTGTGATGAGGGCGGGTGGAAGGGTGGAGAACGGGGTAGTGGGGTAAGGAAGAGTTGCAGAGGAGGGCAAGTGGAGGGTTGGGGGGGGGGGAGTGGTGAAGTGTGGGTGGGTGGGTGGGTGGCGCAGTGGTGCAGGGAGGTTACGGTGACAAGGTGTGAGGAGCGGGATGGGTGGCTGTGGCATGAAAGGCAAGCTGTGATTTGTGCAATGCCGCGCGTTGAGGGGCCGTTGTCGGGAGTTGTTTCAAGAGGTACAGGCGTTGTCAACACAGTTCACAACTGCTCTGCAGCCATTTCTAATGCGGCATGTCGGAGCAGGGCAGGGCAATTGTGGTGACTGGATGAGTATGGTAACAATGTGTACCAGGGCAGCTGCGGGGACCACACGGTCTACATTAGGCGGTGCAGTCCCATTTTGATATTCCACTCACATGCGACCTGACACCAGCACATGCTGTGCTGAGATGGCTTAGCTAGTCGTGCGTTTCAACCGGCACAGCCTACTCAAAAGTGCATGCATGCACAGCTCACACACGCTTGATTGTAGTGTTTTGAGTTGATGTTTCAGATAATGACATCACATGTGACATGAACAGCGGAATATAACCACCATCCACCGTATGTAAGAAGGGAGGAGGGATGGATGGAGGGACAGGTACCATCCCCGTGCTGCATGTGAAGGCTAGTCATGGTGAGGCAGCCTCGAGCAGAATTGCACCTGACAGAACCTCAGATTCACAGCCTTGGATCATGTTCCTGTGATCTGCTATCCAAGAATGATAAAAGCTTCACACCCGTTTTCCAGCATTCTACCTGCACTCATGATTTGGTGCCCTAGTCTAAAAGATGCGAAAATAAAAGGGACAATGAAAAAGCAGTAAATAGCCAGCTCATAGGCTGACAACAGCAGTGGAGCAGAGAGGCTCATGTGTCAAAAAACATGTGCCTCCCCACCTGCTTGGTGGCTGCAGCAAGCTGACAGCAAAAGAATGTTAACCAGGGATATATGGACCAGGAGTGCGTGCATGTGACCCAGTGATGCGAGGGACCAACCCAGCAGCATGCCATGCAATTCTGAGAGACGAACCACAACCAGCTCCACTCATGTGACGTCATGTGACGCAACAAGGAGCTGTGGTGTGCCATTCAGCTGTGCTTCCATGCACACACAGCGAGGTAGGTCGCACGAGCTGAGAGCCTGCAATAACAGCGGCACAGCACGCACTTGCCTGGTGCCACATGGCTGGTTGGATTGCCCAACCAAGGTCCCATACTCGTGCCTCTGAAAACGCTTATTGTCAGAGTTTAGTATGCTAAATCCGAATCACAATACCATGCCCATCCCAATCCCCATCCGAATCACCCCATTGCCCCTCTCCCCTGTGCAATGCGTCCATGCCACTGACACCTGCATGCATCACCCAGTCAGTCGCATTCTCTTGCGGCCAGCACCACCCTCTCCCCTCTCCTCGCCCCTCTCCTCATCAGCCTCTTCCACCCCCCTGTCCACTCGCTTCTGCCCTGCTGCATATCCACCCCCCACTTCTGCCCTTGGTGAAGGCTCCAAATCCCCCCTCGTAGCGCACGCACGCATATGAGGAGGCGATACACGCTTTTGGGACGGGCATGTGATTGCCACCACCATGCCATTGCCTTCACTGCTGCTTCTCTCTTGCCACTGCTCCTGCTCCGCCTTCACATGCGCAACCCCTGCTACAGACAAGCCCACTTCCTCTCCCTTGCCATCACATGGCGCCTGCAGACCTTTCTCCCCCTCATGCCCTACCTCCTCCTGCTGCAACGACAGAAACGACTCAACCTGAAGCAGCTCCGCTTCCTCCGCTGCTGCTGCAGCCGCGGCTGCAGCTGCTGCTGCATCGCCAGGCGCTGCTGGCCCTTCTGCATGCAGCATGCCTTGAGGCTTGCAATCACCGCCATCCCTATCCATGCGAACAGCAGGAACTGCCTCACCGCTCTCCCTCCCACCACCCCAGGTTGCAGCAGCTCCACCCGGCTTCACGTCCCCGCCCTCCTCTACCTTTGCCACACAGCCTGGGCCTCTCAGTAGCAGGCGAGCGGAGGCAGCAGAGGAGGCGCGTAGGGGGGTGGCGGGCAGGCGGAACTGGTGAGGCGCAGGGGGGGGCTTTGAGGGCTCTCTGCCTCCAGCGGGTGATGCTGCAACGCCAGATGCTGCTGCTGCTGCTACAGGGCCAGCAGAGGCAGCGAGGGGGTGGTGAGCATCAGTGAAGGCGGGCTTGGTGGAGGTGGTATCTGGATGCGGCTTGGAGGATGGTAAAGGGGAGGCTGCTGTAGGAACATGAAGGCGCTCGTGTGCAGCAGGGGGGTCTGGGGCTTGGGAATGGGAGTGAGCAGCAGGCCTTGCAGAGATGGTGGGCGATGGGCTGGCATGTTCCGACAGGTGTGACAGGTCCAATCTGCACGCACGATGCAGAGAGGGAGATGACAGGGAAGGCAAAACAGGCTCTTGATGAGGGAGACGAGAACTTGGCAACATAGAAATTGACGAAAAAGGGAGCAGTGGAAAACAACTGAAGCATCATCGTACATGCAACAGTATTCAACCACTATGCACATGTACAGGCGGCAAGGAAATGCAACAACTAGTTCTTACGCTGAAGGGACGCGGCCAGGCAGGACACGGGAGGAGTCCACAGGGGAGGGCGAGAAGGGTAGGCTTCGGCGGACAGCGGACGAGTGCAGAGGTGATGCGGAAGGCGGCTGCCAGCGAAGAGGGGTGGCAGCGGGGGAGGGAGAGAGCGTGCGCAGCGCACGGTCGTGACTGCGGTCCGCATCAGACAGGAGCGCTGCCACATCTGCACGCACAGGGGAACACGATGGGTTAGAGAGTGCACGTGGACAGCATCAGCCCGAGAAACGAATAACAACAAGGAGCATTGAGAGAGGGAGTGGTGCTGTATGGACACTTGAAAATGGCAGGTGGAGGGGAGAGGAGAAAAGGCTTACCTCCACTGCGACCATGGGGATTCTGGCATGACGCACATCTGCACCCTGCTGTGCACCCCACTCCAGCCTGCACCCACGCAGACAGCAAGGGACAGCCAAGGAAACAGAGATGAGTGTGATGTTAACACACAAAAAGGAAGACTGGGTGGGGCAGAGACCATGATTGGCGCCAGCTGCAGTTGCATCTGCAACAGCAGGAGAGAAGGAGTACAAGCGGCACTCAACGTTGAGAGGCGAAGTAAACTGGTGGAAAAGCGAGAGGAGTGAATCAGCCAATTACCTGGTAACACTCGCAGTACTTTTTGGTGCACATGGAGCGGCGGCAGTTGCACCCTGTCTTGTGTCGCGGTGCCTTGGGAGGCGCTGCTGGCACCGGTGATGCCGCAGACACGGACACCTGGCACAGAAGCGAGTGATAAAATAGGGTGAATGAAGCAGGTACTTAGCTTGGAAGGCCACAGGATTGAAAGGCAGGCAGGAAATTGACGAGAAGGAAAGGGCCAGAGAGCGAGTCACGTGGGTGGGGTAAAATTGAGGGGGAATGGGTAAACGAATGTGGGATGGGAAGCGAGGGGAAAGGGAGCACCAACCTTGGGTCGTGAAAGGGATGATGCAGGGCCAACAGTAGCGGCGGTGATAATCTTGGGTTGGAAGGCCGTGGGGTTCCGAGCTTGAATGGCTGCTCGTGTGGCCAGCACAAGGGACTCGTACTCAGGTGTGTTCTGACACTCGTTGCAGCGACATGCGTCCCCGCAATACACATTGGCCCGAAAGCACTCACAGTAGCTGTCACAGAAACAGGGATGGCAACGAGGACATGTGAGAGAGAGTGAAAAAACCCACTCGGCTGCAGGTTGGAAAGCAGGGACATCAAATTGGTGAGAGCGAGCGGTGGAAAGAGGCAGCGAGTGTGGGCTCACAGTTTGAGGCAGCGCGACTTTTTGCAGCTGCAACGCCTGCAGCCCTCGCTGGGAGGTGGAGTGGCGGAGGCACTGCCACCACAGTGAAAAGCAGCAATAGAGGTTTGATGAGGCGCGTATGAGAAAGTTGAGACGGAATGGAAGAGAGTAAAGGTGGAAGGGGAAAATGGGGAGACTACTAAGAGCGGATGGGGTTGCAGAAGCAAGAAGAAGCCTACCTGATGGAAACGTGGTGGCTGCTTCCTTGAACGAGCGAGCCCTCATCGCTCTCAGACACGTCTCCAGTGGACGCACTCGCATACTCCACCCCCGCCGGCACTGCACTGTGCTCCTCCACGCCCCCATGTGCCCCTGCCCACCGCCCTTGCGCATGCTGCCGTGCTGCGTGCCCCGCGGGCCCCTCGCCACTGCTCATGCGCCGCAGTCGCATGTCTCCTCCCACTCCTCTGCCTCCACCACCGCCCGCCCCTGCCTCCGCCGCCCCTGCCATCGCGCCCTCACCGTGCACAGTGCTGGCTGGCGCATGGAGGGGATCGCGAGCGGCGAGACGCAATTCATCATGAGAGTGGGCCGCCTTACCATGCGCGCACGCCACGTCAGCATTCCCGCCTTTGCGCTCCTCCATCGCGCTCATCCCTGAAGCTTCTCGCTTGATTTCGCCTTCAGGCAGCCCATGCGCGCCCTCTGCTGCGGAACCCTGCTCGCGCATCCCGTCGTGCTGCACGTGGCGGGTGCTGTACGTTGACGGCGCGGCATCTGTGTGCGCCGGAGGCAGCTGCCACGAGCCGTCACCAGGAGCACCAGCACGGGTGAGATCGATGGAGTGGTGGGTGTCACCCGCATGATGGCTGCGTTCCATTGGCAGATCCGCTTCCGTGACGCCAGTGCCGCGGGCATCATGGGGACTGTCGTACTTCCCACTGCCACCAGCAACAGCGCCGTCAGCCACGTCCGCTGCGCCTTGGAGGTTGCCGTCAGCAGCAGCGGACGGCGCTGCAGCAGATGGAGTCCGCAGTAACGAGCCTGCATAACGGCCCTCCAGTCCCCTCGGCGTGACAGCCTCTTTCGCATTAACGGAAGGGCCACTGCCCACAAGCGCCGTGAATCCACGAGGCCGCTCGAGGAACAACCTGCCTCGTTCAGCGCCTTCCTGCATGGCTCTGAGGCGCTCCATTGGGTCGCCAGCCGCCAAAACATCAGGAAGCTCCCCGAACCCCAGATGCCCGTCATCCATGCCCATGCCCAAACCCAAACCCAGCCCCATACCCATGTGCATGCCAATAGTGCCGAGACCCATTCCTGGTGAAGAAAGGGCGCCAGGCGATCCCAGCTCCCACATCCGGCGCACGGAGCCCTCGCTCATGGGGCTGGAATCAAGCCCCGTGCCGTCCATGCCTCGATACGGCTGGGTGAACAGCGCCGTGCGCAAAGGGGTGCTGCGCTTGCCGTCGGGTGACTGCCACGTCATCATGCCCCCAGGCGTTGCCTTCGCTGGCGATTCGCCGAAACCCTCGATCAGCATGCGCGGCTTCTTAGGCGACTGCCAAATTTCAAATGCCCCCGCGCGATCCTTCGCGCTGCGGAATGGCCTGCAGCCGCCCTCTCCTGCCCCATTATGGCCTACTCGCTCCGATCTGCCACTCCCAGGGTCATCCCCCAGCACGTCATCTTTCTTCTCATCTGCACAACGGTCCGCGCCGTCTTTACTCTGCTGAGGCGGATCGTCGCGTCCCTGCGAGCCTCTTCCGCCCTCGTCACCCGCCGTCGGCGTTTGAGCTGGGCACCCCAGCTCAGCGGCTTCGTCATCCGCCCCGCCGTGCTCCCACTCATCCTCCTCTTCGAGTTTCTCCTCGGCTGTCAGCCCGCCCTCACGGCATTCTCCACCCTGTGCTTGCTCGGCATCGTTCAACGACCTCAGACGCGAGTTATCCTCTTTCTCCCTCACATTTCCCGAGCTAGCACGCTCCACAGGAGTAGCATCCTCGGTAGGAGCAACAGGCGGAGCCAATGTAAGAAATTTATTGTCACCTTCTGTCGCATTAGTTGACGGAGGCTCTTGCGTGCACGACGCACGACGTGGCGTCAAAGCGCATGAATTGCCACTGCCAGAATCATGCGCGTCGTCCTTAGGCTGCTGCACCCAAACGGATAACCGAGAGCCAACAGGCGCCGCCACCTTCAGCCCAGACGCATCACAGGCCGTGTCGGGTGACGAGCGAACGCGGTCCCCAGGTTGGGGTTTGGAGAAGGGAAGCGAGAGCGAGCGGCGTGGGGAGAGGCTGGGGATGTCGGAGTCTGCCAGAGACTTGCGGTCCAGTGGCGACGGCGGCACCTTGCTCGCATCCCCACTGCCCAGCGGAGTCATTTGCGGGGTCGTGGAGCCGGGAGACCAGTTCGCGAGCTTCCGAGAGGCCCTGGAGAGACACAGCGGATGGACGTTAGGCCCTCGCACTACCAACCGAGATGCAAAACGAAACGACCAGAACACCCGGCTTACCGCCGTAATCGACCTCTGCCACGAGGTCGTGTGGGAGATCGAAATGGAGGCGAGCGGGACCCATTTTGAAACGCCGCATCTCGAACTGCCCTGGCTTGCTGGATCGGAGAGAGCGCATCTGCGAACTTTGAAAACGGCGAACTCTGCACTCAAACGAGTAGGAAATAGACCACAGCGGACACGGGTGACCCGGAGAAACAGAATGGGAGAATTTGAATTTATTGCGTAGAAAGCAAGCGCATACGTCATGACGGATCAAGAACTACATTTATGCTGGACTGAATATATTATACACAGCCAAACCTGGACATTGACTCCATAGAATTGAGCAATACGCCAGGCACGAGGAATAAAAAATTACAGCGACGACTAGGAACCAGTCTTGGATACTAAAAAGGCTAGGCCATTGCGGCCGCAAGAACTTAATGGAACTGCTCGTCAAGACGAGAGCACGGGGAGCAATCAGCGCTCGGGAGCCACACCTGGTCGTCATCGCTGAATACTTGCATTGCCTTTGGCTCCGGAGACGAAAAAGTTTCGGCAGTACCCATTCTTGATGATAATCCAGGATCATTGACCTATGGACTTTCAAAAAAGCAAAAATCTGTCTGCTAGTCTGAGGTCATTGGGATCAGATGGAGAGGAGAGGCTTGGTGGTTTTGGGAGAGACGATAGAGGGGAAGGCGAGAGCGTCCTGGGATGATCGGGTAAGCCCACATTGCTGAGAGAGTGCCGATGGTGGATGAGATTGGGTATGAAACGCAATCTCCACCGTTCAACCAAAACTTCAAGCTTTTTGCTTTGCGCCAAAACCTTGCGGCTCCAGCTCCGGCTTCGCCTTCGTTGTTGGCAAGTACGCCTCGTGAGAGGTCTCCATGGGACTTGCCCGTGGTTGACCGGCTGCCTCGGCATTCCGAACCTCCTCTTTGCGACCACACAGCCTCCACCTCACTCTCCAAATGACTTGTCATACCTGAAGCCGAGCCTGATGTTTGGTTATGGAGCAGGTTCAGCATCCATACCTCCATGTCACCATGCATTCAAACTCAGCTTTTGAATTGCCAAATTGAAATGGTGAGCATGAATTCTTCCAGCCACGCGATTGTCAGGATGGCAGAACAACAAGTACACCAGAAGAATAACATGGTATGTATTGGAAACATAACATATTTGTGGGATGTGTTGCATAGAAAACCATGCACTCGAGTTCAAAGATAACATGTAACTACCGGTAGTATTCAATCCATAGATGCGTTGCATGATCATTTTTTTTCAACGGGGTGCATGGATAGAAGATTCCTTCCCAGCACAAGATATTCTGCTTCCATCCTGATCCTACTACACTGTGAGGATTTACATGTTCTGTATTGTCCATGAACTATCCACAACACCTGAGGAACTTTGCCGCGTACAAGTCTGCTTCCACCAGCATTGCTCACCAACCATCACCCAACCCCAGGGCCATGGCATTACAGTACCATCACATTCCAATTACTGTACCGAGGGCTTCGGGAACGTCGGTCAGGCAGTTGGGCGAAACAAGACAAGCTACGACGAGGCTGTAACCTTGATACTTCGCTAATAGCATCCCATAGGTGTGCTTGTTCCAGGGTTTTCTCTCCGCCCCACAATTGTTGTTCTGGTGGTTTCGACCTTGCCGAATGTGTGTTTGTTGGGACAAACGTCATGGCACCCACCCACGTTCTCTAGTTGGCGAACCGTTCCCTGTTCCACCATGATGGAGTTCTGAGCCATGCACTACATCGTTCTCATAGCCATCCATGCACATGATCACGCCGCGCGAAGCAGAGTTGCTCTAAGTACCGCCAGATGCGAAAATGTCGGGCCTCTCATCGGACTTATTGCTGGCAATTCCAGCCAGCACGGCGCAGATGGCCATGCTATCGTCGCCCAGCCGCTCGCCGCGGTCGGCGGTGGTTAGCACTGCTGAAGTGAGTCCGCGAGGTAGGAGGTTCCGAGCGGCCATCGACATCATCATTGCGCGAACCGTCGAGTCCTTCTTCGACCTCCCGCCTTCCACCTCGCTCGCGTCGCCGCACAAGGTCAGTCTTCTAACATCAACGGCCTACCAGCCAACACTTCGCGTCGGTTTTTTTAAATCCTTGCGGCTAACGCTCGTCCGCCATTCACGGTTTTATTTCGTTCTGGAGCCGAATTTCGCAACGTCTAAAACGATTCCGGTTTTTTCCTCTTTGTTATTCTCGCCCCTGCTCCTCCATTCCCTCTCTCTCCGTGCCTTCTACTCCATCCATTCTTGCCTTAGCCTCGCTCGCGTTCCGGTTCGCCGCAACGCTCCCCTTCGCAAAAGTACCAGCAGGAAAAGCAGCAGCAGCAGCAACAACAACAACAACAACAGTCGCAGCAGCAACAGCAGCAGCAGCTGCTGGGGCAGCGCAGGCAGCAAGATAATTTCAAATCCTCTCAAGGGCAGCGTGCGGGTGACCGAGCCGCACAAGCGAGTCAGAGGGGCTTGACTGCGGGTGCTAGGGGGGGAGATGCGGTGGGGAATGGCGGTGGTAGTGGGCGCATGTCGCCGTCCGCAGGAGCATTAGGGCGAGGGTCTGGCAGTGCGGAGGATGGCGAGGCGGACACGCCCAAATTCGCTCTCAAGTCACCAGGTCAGTGCCGCAGCTGCCAGTTCACACGGTGGCTGTAGTGTCAATAAATAACTGCCCTGCCAAGTCAATAGTTGTTCTTCGTGAGCGAAACATACCCCAGATTTCGCCTCCTTTTCCGTGCCCTGCCATCTCCGCGCGCGTACCTGTTTCCCTCGTTTTGTTGTCCTCAGGCTCATATTCCCCTCGAGGCCGACCGCCTTCTCTGCCTTTTGATGTCGACTTCCCGGCTCTGCTCGGATCCCGCCCACTGCAAGCCTCACCCAAACGCGCCTCTCCAGCGCCCTCCTCCTCCCCCACCTCCTCCTCCATCTCATCCGCCTTCACCTTCCCCCCTGCGTCAGCCGCGCCAGGCACTCTCACCTCTCCGCCCTTGTCCTTCCCCTCCGCCTCCGCCTCCTCCGCGTCGTCGTCAACGCCCTCGGATTCCGCAGCTGCACCCGCCGCGCCCGCCATGGCGCTCCACCAGCCGCTCTGCTTCCCGGGTGCGCAGCCCGTGCATCCGCCTGATGACGCGCCGTCCCTCGCCGCCGCGTTCGCTGCAGCCAAGTCCGCGCAGGCTGCTGCCTGCAAGTCCCCCGTCGCCTCGCCTCTCTCCTCCCCCAGCCCATCCCCCTGCCCCACGCCATCCCGTCGCCGCCTGCCGCCGTTCCCAGAGCCGCCAATGGCGGCGTGTCTATTCGACGCCATGGACAAGCTTCTCTCCGTCTCCACAGGGGTGGCGGAGCTTGCCGCACCCCCGCCACCCTCCCTCGCCTCTCTAGCCGCAGTTTCAGATTCTCCTGCTTCCGGCGCTCTGGGCCCTCTGTGGGCGTCAGCCGCGGGAGGAGGTGGGGGGAAGGGGCTGGCAGGAGGAGGCATGGGGGGACTGGAAGGGCTCATGGGCGGTCTCCACCTGCTTGCCGCAACCTCTGGTGGTGCCGCTGCCTCTGCTTCTGGCGCTGGGGGAGGCATTGGCGCTGGCAGTGGGGGAGGCGGTGGCGGAAGCAGAGGGGCGGGCAGTGGTGGGGGCCAGGCGCGCACGCTGCTAGGCCTGGTGGACCCTCGGGAGGCGGCCACTGCAGTGGCGCCGTCTAAGAGCCGCAGGCAGATGGAGGCGCTGAGGAAGGCGCGGCAGGCGGGGCGCGGGGGACAGCTGGGGCTGGTGACTGGCGCTGCTGAGAGCAGCGGGGGAGGCCACTTGGGACTCGTTGCGGGCTCGTCTGGCGGTGCTGGCGGCGGCGCAGGGGGAAAGGGCGGGGGAGGCGGAGGGGGACATTTGGGTCTTGTGACCAGCTCCACCAAGGGGGCTGCAGGGGGTCAGCTAGGGCTCGTTTCTCGTTCTCTCGATAGCAGGGGTGGTACCAGCAAGGGCGTTGCAGGTGCGGGAAGAGGAGGGCCTAGGCAAGGGAAGGCAGGGGCGAGGGGGCACGGTTTGGGGCTGGAAGTGAGCGGGCAGCAGGGAAGGGATGGTAGCAGGGAACGAGGTGGTCAGGGGGGCGAAGCAGAAACCTTGCTAGATGAGAAGGCACGGGCGGAGAGGGAGAGGGAGGAGCGGGAGCGGCGGGTGGTGGAGGAGCATGGGAGGGCGGTGGCGGCGGTGGAGAGCATGTCTCAGGCGGACCGAGTGACGTTCGATGGGCCGCTCGTGGACGGCCTCTCCGCGCCCCTGCAGCTCCCCAGCTTCCACGGCAAAGCCCTGCCCTGGCGCCGCAACAAGGCGCCCCCGCCCTTTGCAGCCGGCGCGCATGTTGTTAACGCGATTTTGCAAGCGGAGCGGGAGGGAGCGGATGGCGCAGGGCCTATTCAATCCAGTGAAGCTACAGCAGCAGCAGCAGCAGAAGTAACAGCGGGAACAGGGACTGTAGCAGGAGCAGCAGCAGTGGGCAGAGGGCAAGGCGGAAGGGCCAACATGAACGAGCCACCAGTTGCGGCAGCAAAGGAGCAAGAATTGAGTGCTGTTGGAGAGGCACAGCTTCCCACCATGAGCCTTGCTGCTGCCTTTGGAGGGCTGGCCTTGGCATCTCAAGGGGAGGACGCGGGCCAAGGGAGTTTTGGCATTGGCGCTGGCTGGGGGGCAAGTAGTGGTAGTGGCGATGAGAGTGGTGGTGGCATGGGAGGTGGTGGTGATGGTGGGTTCATGGGTGCGTTCGACTCTCTATTTAATGCGTCGGCTGGTGCTGGCGGCGCAATGGGCTTGCACATGCAACCGCTGCAAGCCCATCAAGTGGAAAGTGTGGGGGATGGGCTGGGAGAGGCAGGCGAGGCAGCAACCAGGAATGTGAGGCGTGCAGTAAAAGACGAGAGCAGGGAGAGAGAGAGGGAGCGGGAGGAGAGGGAGAGGGAGGAGAGTGAGCGGGAGGAGAGGGAGAGGGAGGAGAGGGAGCGGCGGGTGGTGGAGGAGCATGGGAGGGCGGTGGCGGCGGTGGAGAGCATGTCTCAGGCGGACCGAGTGACGTTCGATGGGCCGCTCGTGGACGGCCTCTCCGCGCCCCTGCAGCTCCCCAGCTTCCACGGCAAAGCCCTGCCCTGGCGCCGCAACAAGGCGCCCCCGCCTTTTGCTGCCGGCGCGCATGTTGTGAATGCCATTTTGCAGGCGGAGCGTGAAGGGCACAAGGAAGGGGGGGAGGGCAGTTTTGCTCAGGGCGGCATAGCAGGTGCGGGCTTGGCTGGAAGGGAGGCAGCTGCTGCAACGGGTGCTGGTGGTGGTGGCAGAGGAGGGGAGACTGACGCTAGAAAGGAGGGGTTACGTGTGGATTCGGAAGGCGAGGGAAGGGCAGATAATGCGGCAGATGCAGCTGCTGGTGCTGTGGGGACGGGATTGGGCTTTGGGGGTCTTTCTGGTGGGCTGTCGCTAGCCGCAGCATGGAGTGCAGGGGGCGTGGGGGCAGGGGACATGGAGCTGCAGGAGCCGGTACAGCTGGAGGAGGGCGAATCTGGTGGTGGGTCTGGCCTCATGAGTGCCTTTGATTCGCTCTTCTCTGCTTCCGCTGGTGCTGCTGGCCTGCCACTCTCACAGCAATTTGATGGCGGAATCGCATTTGGTTCCGTGCCTTCCTTGCAGCTGCAACCCCAGTTCCAGCAGTCGCTGCAGCAGCAGCTACCTTCCAAGCAGGTGGCTCAGGCGCAGGGAGGGGGCAGGAGAGAGGAGGAGGAGGAAGACGAAGACAGTGAGAGTGAGCGGGAGGAGAGGGAGATGGAGGAGAGGGAGAGGGAGGAGAGGGAGCGGCGGGTGGTGGAGGAGCATGGGAGGGCGGTGGCGGCGGTGGAGAGCATGTCTCAGGCGGACCGAGTGACGTTCGATGGGCCGCTCGTGGACGGCCTCTCCGCGCCCCTGCAGCTCCCCAGCTTCCACGGCAAAGCCCTGCCCTGGCGCCGCAACAAGGCGCCCCCGCCCTTTGCTGCTGGTGCCCACGTCGTGAACGCCATTTTGCAGGCGGAGCGCGACGAGGCTGACGCCTCAGGGCACAAGGCGGGGGAGAGTGGCAGCAGCGAGCGGAACAAGAGCCCAACCGAAGCTTCCTCATCAGCGTGCAATGCCCAGCCCCCTGCAGGCGCCAAGGCAGCTGAGACATCCCATGCAGACACCGCAGCTTCAGCATCACCTCCTCAGAGCCTAGCAGACGCGTTTGGGGGGCTGGCAGGGCTGTCCTCAGGAGCAGGGGGGGACGAGGATGGCATGAGCGGCGGGTGGGGGGGGTCCGGTGGGGGAGGGCTTGGGCTCATGGGGTCGTTTGACTCGCTGCTCTCTGCGTCCTCTGGCAGCCCTGCTGCTGCAGGGCCCGGACAGCACGGTGCAGCGGCAGTGGGCCAGTTGCAGCCTCTCTCGCTCTCTCCTCTTTCTTTGCAAGCGTCGCCCGCCATACCCCGCACCACACCCACCCATCAGTTGACCACTCCGTTGCTCCCCCGCGCGCCCATCCTGTCGCCCTTCTCCGACAAGCCAGCAGCAGCGGATTCGCTGGAGGCGCTTTTCCAGGTGTCGAAGATGCACGGGGGAATCTCCCCCTCCATTGACAACCGTCTCCTGCCCGCCTTCCCCTCGCCGCGCATCCGCACCCCATCGCACCTCTCGGGAGGAGTCTCCGCACCTGCTGCAGGGGAGCCTAGCAGCAGCTCAGACGGCAGTGCGAGGCTGGGAGCAGCTGGCGCCGCTCCGCCAGTCATCCTTGCACCCTTCTCCAATGTGCTGGCAGCAGGGGATTCTCTGGAGGCGCTTTTCCAGGTGTCCAAGATGCACGGGGGAATCTCCCCCTCCATTGACAACCGCAAGCTCGCATCCTTCCCCTCGCCCCCCCTCCACGTGCCTCCACACTCAACTGCCACTCCCAACAGGGTGCCGCCAGGGGGTGCAGCAGGCAGCCTGGGCCTCCAAGCGACGGCTCGCATGGCGTTTCCGCGCTCCACGTCTGCTCCCCCTGCGCATGCCGCCATTGACGCTGCAGCTGATGCTGTGCTGCTGCAGCTGGACCTGCCGCTGCGCCGAACAGGCTCTGCTGAGTTGCAACCACTCTCCCCCACCTCCGCTCACCTGGATGTCAACGCGCCTTCCGCTCTCGCCTCATCTGATTCCAGTTCTCCCGCTTTTGCTGCGCCACTGGGTATAACTGCAGGTTCTTCCTCTTGCTCCTCCGCTTCCTTTGTCTCTCCATCCGTCCCCTGCTCCTCCTCTTCCTCCTCGGCTGCCTCTGCTTTCTCGTCCACGGCGCCCTTGGCAGCACCAACAGCAACGGATGCAGGGGAGGCAGGAGCGGGAGAAGAGCCAGGGCCCCTCTCATCCCTGGCAGCGAATTTTGCGTCTCTGCTTCTAGCCGGGTCGGGGCCGGGCATTCCGCTTGACCAGAGCCCATCCCCCCATGGGCGCTTTGCCATGCAAGCCAACATCCCCCTCTCCCCGCACCTCGTCTCACCCTCCTCCCGCCTGCCCACATCCGCAATCGCATTCCCCAGTCCAAAGCTAGCTATGAGTCCCAAGGTGGCGCTGGCATCTCTGGTGGGCCACCTGGGCCCTGTCAGCCCTCTCTGCGTCGCCTCCCCTGCCTCTCGCCCCTCTGCTTCGCTTCACCCTTCGCCGCCCGCATCTCCTCTTGAGAAGCTCTTTAATTTATCCATGGGCGCCGGCGCTGTGCCTCTCTCCCCGACCCTCAGTCCCAGTGGGTCCCGCCCAAAGACCCTCCTAGGCCTTGTTAATCCCCGGGAGCCTGCCTCCGCCTCCTCCTCTTCATTTTCCTCCTCGCCTCGCTCCTTTGCGGCTTCAAGCGTGCTGGGCAGTGAGGCTGGTAATGCAGGGCTGGGGGGCAGTGCAGGGAGAAGCGGCAGTGCAAGGGCAGCAGCTGTGGCAGGGAGTGGTGTTGGTGGTGTGGGTGCTTCAGAGGGTGCTAGAGGCTCTGTGCTGAGACCCAGGCAAGAGAGCTTGGGGCAGCAGCAGCAGCAGCAGGTGGGGCAGGTGGAGCAGTCAGCAGAGGTGTACCGGCACGAGTGTGTTGGGCTGACGGACCTGGGTCCCCTGGGGGGAGGCGGGCAGGACGAGCGGCAGTTTCAGCTCGCGCTGCCCAACTTCAAACGCAATGGTCCCGCCTTCCTCAGACGCGGCCCACAGTGCACCAACCAGACCGCACCCACGCCCACTGCTCCCTCCACAGCATGTGCTGAGGCTTCCTCCTCCTCCTCCTCCTCCTCCTCCTCCTCCTCCTCCTCCTCCTCCTCCTCCTCCTCCTCCTCCTCCTCCTCCTCCTCCTCCTCCTCCTCCTCCTCTTCCTTCTCCTCCTCTAACCCTCTAGGCGTGTCCTCCCCTTCCTCCGGCCCTCTGACCTTCTCTCCGCGGCCCATGCCAGCCGCCCTCCAGCCGCACCGTGAGAGTGCTGCTGAGAAGGCTGGGCCCAGAGGGGGGCAGCGCGAGCAGCAAGTGAGGCTTGGGGAGGGGGAGAGCACGGAGGGGAGTGACGAAGAGGGGGACGTTTCTGAATGGTGGATGCGCGCACCCACTCTGGGACCTGGCAACTGGGGTATAGGCGAGGATTCCGATGCTGGCGCAGGAGAAAAGAGGGGCAGCAGCGGCAAGCTGGAGAAGTTAGCTGAGGAGGAGAGGGAAGAGGTGGAGAAATATGGGGTGGGTGGAGAGGAGGAGGCGGATGGGGGCGAAGAGGGGCAGGGCGGGGAGGTGAGTGAGCAGGAGAAGAAAAGAGAAGGGGGAAAGGGAGGTGGTGCAGGGGGCAAGGTGGAAGTAGATGTGGAGCGCATGATGGGCATGCTGCAGCAGCTGCAGACGCCTCTGGCGGATGTGCGCGCCGCACTGGAGGGTGGGGGGCGAGGAGCAGAGGAGTTTGAGGCTGCTGCACGGGCGCTGGAGGCGGACTTGAGACGGTTCCTGGAAGCCAGGAGGCACACGAAGGATGAGGCAGGGGGTGAAGGGAAAGGGGTGGGGGGGACTAAGGGAAGCTCTGGCGCTGGTACGGGGGAGGCTGAACGGGCGGGCGGAGGTAGAGGGGGTGGTGGGATGGGGCTGGAGGGAGAGGCGGTGGTGGTGGAGTTGCCGGGGCAAGGTGATTCGAGCAGGAGTGGCGGTGCCAAAACTTGTGCAGAAACAGCTAGGAATGGCGGAGCGGAAGGAGGTGAAGGGAGAGAGGGTACTGATGTGGGAGGAGGTGCGGAGAAGGAGGGTTCTGGAACCATCACAAATAAGTTATGCACTGCTGAGTCAAAACGCGAGTCTGCTGTGAGAGGCAAGCAGGGAGGCAAGCAGGGGAGGCAGGGGAAGGAGGTGGGGCAGGGAGCGGATGTAGCATCCGGTGCACCCGCACCCCCAGGTACAGACTCAGGTGTGTCCCCAGCAGCTCTACAGGCAGCTCTCACGCGGGAGCTTCATGCACAGTCCAATGGGGGATCAGCCGCACCAGAGGTAAGCGCAGCAGATGCAGCAGGTCAGGCAGGGAGTGGCAGGGCGAGCGAGGGCAGAGGTGGGAAGAGAGGGGAAGCAGTGGAGGTGGGAGTGGTGGGGGGGAAGGTGGTGCTGAGTGGCAAGATCAGGGTGGGGCAGGAGATTCAGTTCTCTGGCACGTGGTCGCCTCTGGGCCTGCCCCACTCCGCCTCGCAATCCTCTGCAGCGGAATCCGCCTCCCCAGGTGTGGAGGACAGTAGGCTGGGCGCTCCTGCTGCAGCTGAGGAGGTTGCTGGGATATCGACTGCTGGGGGGGATCGACAGCAGCAGCAGCAGCAGCAGCGTCGGCGGCACAGGGAGAGGTCGCTACGCAAGCAGGATAGAAGTAAGTCAGGGGTAGTGGTGGGTGGGGGCGGGGGAATGGAGCGCAGGGCAAGGGGCAGAGAGCAGGAGGAGGACTTGCAGGAGGAAAGCTTGAGCGAGGCGGAGGTGGAGAGGGATAGGCGGCGGCGCAGTGGGCGCATGGTGAGCAGTATTAGCGTGGGGGGCATGGGCATGAGCATGGGCATTGGCATGAGCAGGAGCCACGAAGGCACTGTTGGGAGCAGCACAGGGAGTGCGGGGAGCGGGCGTAGTAAGAGGAAGAAGGACCGGTCGGGTGCGGTTGAGGCCGGTGGGGTGGAGTGGGCGAAGGCGGATGCCAGGGACAGTGGTGGAGATGCGAGCAGGGAGGGTGTTAAGGACGGTGGTAGGGATGGGTTGAAGGAGAGTGGCAGGCGTAAGAAGGGCAGTGGGAAAGGTGCAGGCGTAGATGGTGGGTCTGGGAAAGGCAAGGGTGAGTTGGGGGATGGGCATGGTGGTGGGAAGGCAGGGAGGCACGTGGGTGCTGCAGAAGGGGAGGTGGCACAGGTGCTGGGGGGGAAGGAGGGGAAGGAAGTGCGCGATAGCAGGGACGGGCGGGAGAAGGAGGGGAAGGGAGGGAGTGAAGGGAAACAATCAGAGAGTGCGTTAGGAGGGAGGAAGGAGGGGGGCAGGGGAGTGGATGAGGGGGAGGAAGATGAGGAGGACGTGTTTTATGATGCGCGGGAGGTGGTGAGCTCGCCTGCTTCAGAGGACGACAGAGGCAGCGAGCGGTCTCTCAGGCACATCATAGCCAAGGCGGTATCCCCTGGCACGCTTCCTGCTGCTGCTGCTGCTGCTGCTGCAGTGGGGGTTGGGGTGGCGGATGTGGAAGAAAAAGGGGCTGCGAAGCACGGGAAGGAGGGGAAGAGTGTCTCTGGCGTTGCGAGGACGCGCTCGGGTGTGAAGGCAAGGCTTGGGAGTGGCGACAGCAGCAAGGGACGGAGAAAGGAGCAGAAGGGCGCGGAGGAGAAGGGAGCACGGGACGAGCTGAAGAGAGGCGGTAGTGGCGTGGGAGCAGCAGGTGGAGGGGAGAGTGGAGCAGTAGAGAGTGATGCGAGGGGCGGTAGTGAAGCAAGTGGTGGTGGTCGCTTAGAGGGTGCAGGGAAGAGCGGGCAGCACGCAGGTAAGGGAGCAGGGAAGCGCAGTTCCGGGGAGAGCGCGGGTGGAGGGAGAAAAGACGAGGAGGCAGAAGCAGGGCACGAGCGACGCAAGCACAAGGGGAAAGGGAGCAAGAAAGGAACAGAGGCGGTGTCGACAGGAAAGGCTGAGAAACCAGGCGGCTCGGCTGTATCGTCACCCGCACCGTCCTCCACATCTGGTGTCTCTAAATCCCGCCCAGCCACGAGCAGTGGCAGCAGCAACCCTTCCTCACAGCCTTTGTCATCATCAGGTGCCCAGGGCCCTCCTCTGGCATCAGCATCCATCCGTCGCACTGTGTCTGACCTCACAGAGGAGATCAGTGCCCTCAAGGCCGCCACTCTCCTCATCACCACGCCTGCTGCTGCTGCTGCTGCTGCTGCTGCGGCTGCGGCTGCGGCAGCTGCCAGTGGCGCCTCGGATTCAGGCAATGTGAGTAGCAGCGGGGAGAGCGATGCCTTCAGTTTGGGTGTTGGGGCCGGAGGCGAGGGGCAGGGAGTGCAGGGGGCGCAGCTGTCGCAGCTGTTCACTCCAGCGTGCAGCACAGCAGCTGCTCGCAAGGCCCAGCGCACAGCCGCTGCCATCTCTGCTCTACGCGAGGCGGCAGCACGGGAAGGCCCTCTGCCTGCTCTCGTCTGCGCCCCCCCCACACTGCCCTGTGAAGACGCTCCAACGCGGGAAGAGGCGTGGCGGCGGCTCGGCAGCAGGTGGAGAGGGCAGGACGACTCAGCTCTAGGCACAGACAGCGCTGCTGCTTTCTCAGGTGGCGATGCAGCGAGCTTCCGGCTGTCATCCCCGGCTCCCCTGGTGTCCCGTGCTGTGCCAGGCTTTGTGGCGCTCGACATGCCTCCCGCCGCGGGTCCCTTCTCGTCCGCGCCACACAGCGCCACGGCCATCTGGCACATGCTGCAGCTCAACGCCGCTCCGCTGCTCTCAGGCCCGCCCACTGCCCTCATCTCACAGTCCTGCTCGCTCTCCCCTCTGCACTCGTCAGGAATGGGCCTGGCTGGAGAGCCGCGATGGGGGTCGGGCACGTTGAGGAGCAGTGTGGATGCGCTGCTGCAGCTGGGGCAGGAGGGGGGCGACCTGGAATGGGTACCCGGCAGCTCTGCCGCCGCCGGAGGAAGCGGTGCTGCGGAAGGGACTGGTAGTGCCGCCGCCGCTGCTGCTGCTGCTGCCGCTGCGGCTGCGGTTGCAGCGTCTCAGCTGAGCCCGTCAGTGCGCAGCCCTCAGGCGGGTTCGGGGGCTGGAGCGGGGTGGAGGCTGGCGGTGCCGATTCACCAACTGCCAGGGGAGAAGGAGGATTATGAGGAGGGGCAGGTGTGCCCACTCTCGCGCTCCAACAGTGCCAATGTGGAGGCGCTACTGGCTGATGCTCACACTGCTGCCGCCACTGCTGCTGCTCTCTCTGCTGCTGCTGCCGGGTTGCTGGGTGACATGGGGACCAATGGAGGCTCACCACTTAAGCCAAGCAGGAAGGCTGGAGTGGGAGTGGAAGGCGAGAGGGGCATGGAGGAGGGTATGGACGCAGGTGGTGGTGGGAGAAAGGCCAGGGGAGGGGTCAAAGGGAAGCGCAAGGAGATGGCTATAGCGGAGGAGGAGAGCGGGGCAGAGGAGAGCATGCAGGCAGATGCAGCAAGTAGCGACAGCAGTGTGGTGTTTGCAGCACCTGCTGCATCAGGCCCTGCACGCAGCAGCAGCTCCAGCAGGCTGCGTTCCATGAAGACCGCCCCTGCCGGCGCCCTGGCGTCCCTTGCAAGCTTCTTCTCCTCCAAGGCTAAGCACTCCCGCAGCGGCAGCACGGGCGAGGACGATGCCCCTACTGCTGACAGTGGCGGCGCTGGCAGTGTTGACAACAATGGGAGCAGTGGGAGCAGTAGGGTGACACGAGAAGGTAGTGTCGCAGCAGGGAGTGGTGGGAGTGCAGCAGAGGCTGCTGTTAGAGCCACACACCCCCATGCACACTCACCTGCTGCTCAAGGCGCCATGCCTGTGCCTCTTGCTGCTGCTCATGCCCATTCCGCCCCCAATGCCGCTGCTGCATTTTCTGCAATGTCTTCTCCTGGCAAGGCCCCTCTTTCCCCACAGCAACAGCCTGCACCCGCATCAGGGGCAGCAGGGCTTGCAGGGCTTGCATCTGGCCTTGCTGCTGCCTCTGCCGCGGTAGGCGCAACTGGGGGAGGCTCGTATGGGGCCAGGCATGTTGTGGAAGGGACACGTGCAGGAGACAGCAGCCCAGGCATTCACGACCCCTCCAGCATCGCTGCTGGTAGTCCCAGCATCTCTCTCTCCCGTGGCCTCTCCCCTCTCTCCCGCCCTGCCTCCTACGCCTCTGCTGTTGCAAGCGCATCTGGTGCAACCACAGCAGCAGGTGCAGGAGCGGGTGGGGATACAGGGTTGGGTTCTAGAGGTGTGGCAGCAGCAGCAGCAGCAGCAGCAGCGGCAGCAGCGCAGGCAGCAGGGGCGCAGCTGCCAGCAGCGGCGGGGATAGGCTCAGATGCAACGGAGGAGGAGTGGCGAGACGCGGGCAGCGGCAGCAGCAGCAGCAGCCCTGTGCGGTCAGTGCGGTCGTGCCAGTCGACGGGGAGTGAGGTGCAGGTGCAGCAAATCGTGCACCACCACCACCATCACCACCACCACCACCACGGCTTCCACCCCTTCCGCCGCAAGAAGGGGCGCAAGCACACAGCCGTTGAGACCGTGGTGCAGACCACAACAGTGGAGGAGATTGGGGGGGAAGGGAGTGTGGGGGGCATGTCAGGTTCCCCATCCAGCAGCAGCTTCATGAGTGCGAGCAGCTTCAAGAGCCAGAGCAGTGTGGCGCAGCTCATTCCCCACCAGCGCACCAACAGCAGTGGCGGCAGCAGCACACGCGGCGCCTCGCCTGGCAGCAGCCGGGCGAGCACTGCTGCCTCTACGGGTGGGGCTAATGGTGCTGGTGGTGCGAGGGGCAGCACGGGCGGCAGCAGCAACGGTGGGGTGTCGTCGCGGTCGGCGTTTCAAGACTCGGTGGGGGCAGCGCTGAGTGGTGGCGAGTCGGAGGCAGACAGTGACATGGACGTTATTGATGAGCAGGTGGGCGCACGTGTACTCACAGGTACGAGGAGCAGCAGGTGGCATCCTTGACCATACTGTACTGTACCATACCATTGCTACAGTATTGTACCGTACCATAACAGCTGCACCATGCCATATCCATGGCGTTATCTGTGGCAAACACCATTGCCAGCCCCTCTATTCCTAATTCGGTTCGTTGTTTTTCACTGCTCTCCGTACATCACTCTCTCCTTCATCTCTCCGCTCCCCACACACCCATCTCCACATCCCCCACAGGCACTTCTGGCAGCAGCCAAGCGCACAGCAGGCATCACTTGCTGTGTGCGGCCCCGGGTCTTTGACTGACGGAGGCGTGCAGTATGATAGAATTAGAAGTATATGTTGAGTATTGTAGTTTATGGACTTCAGGACATAACTACCGTATTTATCATTCTTTAGGGTCATGACTGTTCGCGTGACTTAAACACCCAGCTGGGAAGGAGGACAGTTGACCTGGCCCTTGATGCTGAGCACATTCGCTATGTCATTGTTGTCTGTAACAATGTCATACAGTGTGTGTAGTCTACAGGAATGCCAACGATTATGGCATGACTTTATGATACCAGGATTGTTATTTTAGAACATTCACAATCATTCCTTCAGAATTTTTTAGCAAAGTTTTCTTCAACACCCAATTGGAATAATCCATGTCTAGAATTGTAGCGTTAAATTGGTCGATTGACTAGCCGTGCGGGTACAGTATGCAGGGCAGATGTGCGCGTGGAGTTCAAAGGTATCTGTAAAGTGCTGATGTGGCGCTACCTATCGGTAGGTACAGCTCAGCAACTTTTTTTCTGCCAACGTCTCGCTTCAGGCGACGTACAAGCGCGGAACCACAGGCGATGATCTTGTCCAGTCGTCAGCAAGTGTTCCAACACGAGTGTGGACAACTTCGCATGCTTGCAACAGTTTCGTGGCGAAGCTTCCTTTGGCGACATGATTGTGACGTCAACACCCAGCCTCATCTTTCCCGCGTTTTTGTCGCTGTGCACAGCGCCAAAAACCACTGACACGAGTTGGGATGCGCCGTCGAAAGTCTCAACCCGGTCCGCCCGTGAGCATTTGGGAACGTAGCAAAAAATCGAGACAATACTTTTTCGTCGGTAGGATGCTTCAAAGCGTAGTGCAAGTTTTACATGTTGGAGGTTGGACAAGAGTGCGCAGTACATTTCAAAGCCACACAAACACGCGGGGCCTCATTTCAGGATCGTAAAACACGGGTTATATATCGCATGCGATAAGTTTACCCTAACACTTGATCTGACCGGCATCAGATGGTGGTATCCACCACTCTCCACAGAACTGCAGCAATCCTCTAGTCACTGTTGTTTTCTGACTGTAGTGCCCTAGCCACTCTTCTCCTTCGTCCTCGCCTTGCTGAAAGGCTGCTCACAGAGAACCTACTCACAGAGCAGTGAGACGAAATCGCCCGCTCAGACGAGCGGCACAAAAACACGCGCGAAACACTGCCGCAGTCTGGCACCACAGCCGAGGGCGTCACCTATTGGGTTCAATTTTAGCCTCAGAACTAGCAGCATCTAGACACACCACCCCCAAGTGCTGGTAGTCTAATACCGTGAGATTAAGTTGGTGAACTATTCCATAATTTCAGAGTTCAATTGTCATGAACGAGCTTCATCTCAACGAGCTTCTATCTCATCTGTGAGCTTCAATACGACGACCCTGGAGATCGCCCACCGCCATCGCCACCATCGCCAACCAACAACTCGCTTCCATCCTGATACCGCCCCCCGCCCAGCCTGCCCTTCGATCTCCATAGGTAAGCTTGAAGCTGTGCATTTTTTTTCTTTGACGCTTTCTGAATACCATTGCTTCAGAATTTCTTTTATCTTTATCTCCGAGTTCTGACTCTTTTGTGTTTGCAATTTCGCAGGTACAAAACACTTCGTCGTCCTCAAGTCCAAACACGAACTGCAAGTGAGATGCTGCGTGCAGCAACGATCCCAAGAGCTTCTCTCCACTTCCAAGCTGGTCTGACGCAGTCAGACGCTTCATTACAACGACCCTGGAGATCGCCCACCGCCATCGCCACCATCGCCACCATCACCAACCAGCAACTCGCTTCCATCCCCACCCCGACCCCGCCCAGCCCGCCGTTCGATCTCCAGAGGTAAGGATCAAGGATCAAGTTGTTATGTCTACTTATTTTCGGTTTCACGCATCGAATGTCATTGTTTCTGTTGAATACCCTTGTTTTTTATTTCTGACTCTTGTTTGTTTGTATCTTTGCAGGTACAAAAAGCAAATGTCGTCCTCAAGTCCTGCTGCTCCATTTTCAAGCCGTTGAACAACCCGAAGCGCTGCTCTCCATTCTCAAGCCTGGCGGACGTGCTGCCGCCGCCTGTCATCACGCCGACCGCTGCTCTGTTTTTTCAAGCCATGGCTGGCGGCCGGACGCGATCTGACGCCGTGTGGTTCGCTGGATGCGGTGCTGCCTCCGCTCTTCACGCCACCAACGCTGATCGGGAAGTGTTGCTTCCCTTGTCTCTCCCTGTTTTTTCAATTTCTTTTTGTCGTTTTCGTTTTCATTCCACAATCGCCCACTCGTTTCATCGCCGTTTCCACCGTCCCTCTGGTTCACAGTGCTGCAGTCGTTAGATGATCCTCCTCGGGTTGTTGGGTAGAATAGCGTGTGGGTTGGGTAGATCAGAGTGTCTCCTCCCTCTGATGGCTGCAGCCTGTGAACCATGGACGTCCGCCTGTTTCGTTTTCTCGTAGTTGGTTTCCATGTTCGTTTTCAATTTCACTTTTTGCTTCTCGCATTTGTTTTTTCTTTGTTTTTTCTACTCGTTATAGCTGCTTACTAACTTCGAGCACTTAGTGTCTTCCTTGCTTTTCAGGAATACGGGGTCACGTCAATGAAGCGAGTAGTTTCAAGGAGTTGACGAAGCTGACAACGAATCAGCATCAGCAGACAAGACTGGCGGTCTGACGCCGTGGCTGGCGGGTGGAGCGCGCTGGACGAGTTGCTACCGTCGTTCATCCCGCTGACGCCGTTCATCCCGCTGCCGCCGTTCATCCCGCTGCCGCCGTTCATCCCGCTGCCGCCGTTCATCCCGCTGCCTACAACGATTGGGAAGTGTTGCTTCCCTTGTCCCTATTTCGTTGCTTTTTTCAATTTCGCTGCTTTCGTTTTATCATTGTTTTCATCCCGCAATCGCCCACACGTTTCATCGCCGTTTCCACCATCCCTCTGGTTCACAGTGTTGCAGTCGTTAGATGATCCTCCTCGGGTTGTTGGGTAGAATAGCGTATGGGTTGGGTAGATCAGAGTGTCTCCTCCCTCTGATGGCTGCAGCCTGTGAACCATGGACGTCCGCCTGTTTCGTTTTCTCGTCGTTGGTTTCCATGCTCGTTTTCAATTTCGCATTTGTCTTTCCTTTGATTTTTCATTGTTTGCTGTTTACTAACTTCTAGCATCGGTTTCCTTTGTTTCCCGCCTCCAGCAACAAAGGATCATGTTGCTTGAGAGCGGAGGCAGAGATGCGGATCTGCAACAAGAGCAACGGCGGAGATGCGGATCTGCAACAAGAGCAACGGCGGAGATGCGGATCTGCGACAAGAGCAACGGCGGAGATGCGGATCTGCAACAAGAGCAACGGCGGAGATGCGGATCTGCAACAAGAGCAACGGCGGAGATGCGGATCTGCAACAGCAGCCAATGACTTTTTCTGGTATGTTCAACACCTGTTAACCGTTTTCTGTTTCATGTGGCTGCCAGCATCGTTTTCTTGAAGTTCGGATGTTGATGAATATATACTGATCGAACTCTGCCGTTTTCTCTTAAACAGGAGCAAATGGAAGCGGACAGCCTTACAAGGCAACGGCGGACTACAAGGCAACGGCGAACGGCGGACTACGAGGGAACGGCGGGCTAACTACAAGGGAGCAGTTGGTAAGCTTTTTAATGAGACCCTGCTTGAGCTGCTTGCTTGTCAGTTCGTATTTTAAAGATTCGATTTTTAAAATGTTGTCCTAATTTGTGTTTTATCTGTTGGTTTTTTCTTAAACAGGACACCCAACTGGCGACGAAATGGCGGATGAGATGACGGAGCCTACTGAGGAGCAGCACCGCACAAGTCTACTACCAGCCTACGAATCAGTCTACGACCAGCCTACGAAGCAGCGGCGGTTTTTCTACAAAGGGAGCGGCGGACAGCCTACAAAGGAGCAGCTGGTAAGCTTTCACGGGTCGCTTTTGCTTGAGCCGCTTGCCTGTCAGTTCGTTTTTAAGATTCGATTTCTGAAACATGTGTACTATTATGTGTCTTGTGTTTTCTTAAACAGGCGAAGCAAATGGCGGATCAGATGAACGAAGCGGCCTACGAAGCAGTCTACAAAGAAGCGGCCGACGACTCAAGACAACCCAAGGAGCAGCCTTCAGCTCAGCAGCCTAAGGAGCAGCCTTCGACTCAGCAGCCTAAGGAGCAGCCTTCGACTCAGCAGCCTAAGGAGCAGCCTTCGACTCAGAGCAGCCTAAGGAGCAGCCTTCGACTCAGCAGCCTAAGGAGCAGCCTTCGACTCAGCAGCCTAAGGAGCAGCCTTCGACTCATCAGCCTAAGGAGCAGCCTTCGACTCAGAGCAGCCTAAGGAGCAGCCTTCGACTCAGCAGCCCAAGGAGCAGCCTTCGACTCAGCAGCCCAAGGAGCAGATTACGACTCAGCAGCGCAAGGAGCAGATTACGAAGCAGATTACCAAACCGCCGCGAAGCAGAGGCTGCAAGGAGAGGCTATGCAGCCAATGCAGAGAAGGGGTGAAGCGGCCTGGTGGAGAGAAGGGGTGAAGCGGCCTGGTGGAGAAAAGAGGAGAAGAACCCCTAAACCCATCAAGGTTGAAGCAGCCTGTTGCAGACAAGGGGAGAAGCGGCCTGTTGGAGAGAAGGGGAGGAGAACCCCTGAACGCTGAAGGGTTGGAGCGGCCTGGTGCAGACAAGGGGAGAGGTGGCCTGGTGGAGAGAAGAGAGAAGAACCCCTGAATCCTGAAGGGTTGAAGAGCAGAGGCTGGGCTGGGCTGCAAGGAGCGGCGGAAGCAGAGGCTGGGCTGCAGAGAGCGAGACTTGATGTGGCGGAAGCGGAGTATGGTCTGCGGAAGTGAGTATGGGTTGTGGAGCGGCGAACCCGAAACCAGGAAGCAAAGCGGCGAAGCGACGTACAAGGGAGCGGCGAAGCAGTCTACAGGGGAAGCGGCGAAGCAGTCTACAGGGGAAGCGGCGAAGCAGTCTACAGGGGAAGCGGCGAAGCAGTCTACAGGGGAAGCGGCGAAGCAGTCTACAGGGGAAGCGGCGAAGCAGTCTACAGGGGAAGCGGCGAAGCAGTCTACAGGGGAAGCGGCGAAGCAGTCTACAGGGGAAGCGGCGAAGCAGTCTACAGGGGAAGCGGCGAAGCAGTCTACAGGGGAAGCGGCGAAGCAGTCTACAGAGGAGCAGCCTAGCAGTCTACAGGGGAGCAGCGTAGCAGCCAACAGTGAAGCAGCGTAGCAGCGTATAGGGAAGCAGCGTTGCAGCCTACAGGGGAGCGGCGTTGCAGCCTACAGGGGAGCGGCGTTGCAGCCTACAGGGGAGCGGCGTAGACGGAGGCTGGGCTGTAAGGAGTAGACTGAGGAGAAGGCTGCGGAAGCGGAGGCTGGGCGGTAGGGATGTGGCGAAGCAGTGGATGGATGTGGCGAAGGGTTACGCGGATGGTGGCTAGATGGGAGCTCAAGGGTGGCCTAAGAGGTGGCTGAGTCTAGTGTGTGGCTCAGCCGGTCCTAAGGCGAGTGGCGTGGTGCGAGTGTGGCCTCAGCGGTGATGTGATGGAGTAAGGGCCGGTGCTTGGTTCTGGCAGTGCAAAGTCGCCCGGGAGGCTTTGCACTGCCTGGGCCCAGAATCAAGCAAACCGGGTACCTGACGCTCCAGGTAGCATCACTGTTGGGGTTGCATTAGCACCGCAAGTCAGCACCGCACCGGCGTGGGTGCGGGGGGCTTGAGTCACTCTAAAGAGAAGGAGACCGCACTGGCGTGGGTGCGGAGAGTTCTCTTACCTCTGAATGATGAGTCCACACTGGCGTGGGTGTGGAAATACTCATTCTAGGTCACTTGAGGGTTTCCCGTTTAGGAGGCTAGCGGTTTCACTTAAAGCCTCGGGGCCTTCTCACACTGGCGTGGGTGTGGGGGGTTCGTCACTTGATGCGTCGGCCTGGAGCCACAGGGAGAGAGGGATGGAGCAGTGGAGGGATGGAGCAGTGGAGGCATCCCTGAGGGGGAGAAGCCGTTGAGGGGAGAAGCCGCCTGGAACAGTTAAGGGGAGAAGCCGAGCCGCCTGGTGCAGTTAAGGGTAGAAGGGGAGAGGAACCCCTGAACCTTGAAGGGGAGACGAACCCCTGAACCTTGAAGGGGAGGAGCAGAAGTAGCCGCCTGGTGCAGTCAAGGGGAGAAGCAGAAGTAGCCTCGTGTATAGAAGGGGAGAAGCAGAAGTAGCCTCGTGTATAGAAGGGGAGAAGCAGTCGGGTGCAGAGAAAGGGGTGCAGCCGTGAAGGGGAGAAGCAGCTGCTGAAGAAAAGCTGAAGCAGCTTGGTACAGGGAAGGGGTAAAGCGGAAGCAGCCTGGTGCAGAGAATGGGTAAAGCTGAAGCAGCCTGGTGCAGAGAAGGGGTAAAGCTGAAGCAGCCTGGTGCAGAGAAGGGGTAAAGCTGAAGCAGCCTGGTGCAGAGAAGGGGTAAAGCTGAAATAGCCTGGTGCAGAGAAGGGGTAAAGCTGAAGCAGCCTGGTGCAGGGAAGGGATAAAGCTGAAATAGCCTGGTGCAGAGAAGGGGTAAAGCTGAAGCAGCCTGGTGCAGAGAAGGGGTAAAGCTGAAGCAGCCTGGTGCAGAGAAGGGGTAAAGCTGAAGCAGCCTGGTGCAGGGAAGGGGTAAAGCTGAAGCAGCCTGGTGCAGAGAAGGGGTAAAGCTGAAGCAGCCTGGTGCAGAGAAGGGGTAAAGCTGAAGCAGCCTGGTGCAGAGAAAGGGTAAAGCTGAAGCAGCCTGGTGCAGAGAAGGGGTAAAGCTGAAGCAGCCTGGTGCAGAGAAGGGGTAAAGCTGAAGCAGCCTGGTGCAGAGAAAGGGTAAAGCTGAAGCAGCCTGGTGCAGGGAAGGGGTAAAGCTGAAGCAGCCTGGTGCAGGGAAGGGGTAAAGCTGAAGCAGCCTGGTGCAGGGAAGGGGTAAAGCTGAAGCAACCTGGTGCAGAGAAGGGGAGATGCAGTGGGGTGCAGGGAAGCACTCAGAAGGAGGTTTTTTAGCCGAGTGATACGGCAGTACCTTGATTCTCAGGGTCTCAGCCCGTAGGCATCCCACCCAATGGGAGGCTGATGGGACGGATTTTTTATCCTCCATGGCTTGTGCACAAGCCTACCAAAAAAAATAAAAAAAGGAAGTATGTTGGGAGGTTGGGATGGAAAGGCGCAGTGAAGCAGGGAAGCAGAAAAGCAGTCAAGGGGTCAAGGAGAGAAGGGCTGACGCTGTGAAGGAGAGCAGATGTGAAGGGATGAAGGGGTGAAGGAGTAAAGCTGTGAAGCAGTGAAGGGGTGAAGCTGTGAAGCAGTGAAGCAGTGAAGGGGTGAAGCAGTGAAGGGGTGAAGCAGTGAAGGGGTGAAGCAGTGAAGGGGTGAGCAGTGAAGCAGTGTAGCAGTGAAGCCGTGAAGCAGTGTAGCAGTGTAGCAGTGTAGCAGTGTAGCAGTGTAGCAGTGAAGCAGTGTACCAGTGAAGCAGTGTAGCAGTGAAGCAATGTAGCATTGAAGCAGTGTAGCATTGAAGCAGTGTAGCAGTGTAGCAGTGTAGCAGTGTAGCAGTGAAGCAGTGTACCAGTGAAGCAGTGTAGCAGTGAAGCAGTGTAGCAGTGAAGCAGTGTAGCAGTGAAGCAGTGAGTCAGTGTACCAGTGAAGCAGTGTAGCAGTGAAGAAGCAGAGAAGCAGTGCAGTAGTACAGGCCATGATTTGTGCAGTAAAGGGAAGGGTGGGTGAGTAGAAAAGTAGCAGAGCAGATAATAAGGGGAGTAGAGCAGAAAAGAAGGGGAATGGAGCAGAAGGGGGACAGAGAAGGGGAGAAGAGGAGTGGAGTAGATAACGCAAAGATGGATGGAAGTAGGCTGGGGAAGGATGGATTGGTTTGGTGTAGAAGTGAAGCTGAAGTGAGGAGTTAAGGCACTTCCATTACATTGCAGGGTAAATGTTGTAGCTGATGTGTACCTAGTACCGTACTCTATGATGGTTAAGTATTTAGCTTGTTATGTTCAAGTGGTACTTGCAGAACATCCCAGAATTGCAGCTTTCTCACAGATAGTGGCATAAAACTCCATTGCATTATGGCTCTTGTATTAGTGCACCAACATACATGGAGGTATCACATGGAGCTTCCTGCTGCTACCATATCTAATCTTCTTCACTGGCAGTGGACTGACCACCCAACACCAGGCAGGGGGACGCAAGGCACTGAACACCAGGCCTTGACTGCACAGTGCAAGCTGGGTCGAGAAACACTCAGAAAAGGATTCAGTTTGTCACCAGGCCGGGATAAAACAGCCTCGAGGTGGCCTGATTCAGTTCAGAGGGGCCACAGCAGATGTTTGCAGAAACGAAACACTTTTAGCCTCAATATTTTGGAAAGTTTCAGTGCACCTACACTGTGAACCATTAAGATACAGCAGCACTATCAGTGGAAGGAGACAGGCTTGTCAGAGGCTCGGACTCTCGAGCCAATTTCCGAGGCTCGGGGTTCCAGGTTCAGGTGATCCCAGGGCAACAGGGCAGCAGCAGTAACCCTTGCATCATTACATCTGTCCCTTACAGTACTGTATGGAATTGTGAGCATCGAGCCAATAATCTTCGCTGGATCATTAGACGACGTCTTCCCTGCTACGTCGTTTCGCTCTGCTGAGTCGACATGGTGGGTCAGAGGAGGAGGAGGAGGAGATGGAAGATGAGGAAGCGGAAGGAGGAGCAGAAGGGGGGTGGCGCGGGGAGAAAGCGAGGGAGGAAGGCACAAGAGGGAGGGATTGCAGGGAGGTGAAGCTGGTAGAAGCGGTGTGCGGGTAGGTGGTGTGGTTGTGCCGGTTGGGGTGGAGAGTTGACTGGTGGGTGCGCTGCTGGGGGGTGATGTGCCTTCCTTGTAGCCAATGAGCTGGGAGGCATGGGGATGGTATGGAAAGAGAGCGAGAGGAGTGCAGAAAGGT